AGAGCAGGATGATTCTGTAGAACCCAAGCAGCAAGAAAGAAAACACACAGAAGAGAGAAATTTACATTCCAGTTATACAGTTTCATTTGTGAATGGAGCAAAAGGTTTTTAGAATAAACAGTAAGTACCAACTACAGGATTTACTGGAGAAAGACAGGTATGGCTACCTTTTCTCTTTGTGAGACTGTCCAAAAGCGCCTACATCTCCCATTTCCTATAAAAGCCTGACTGGGGCATGGTTCAGCCTTCAGCTGTCATAACCCCTACCCCTCTTCCCCCGTCCCTCTCCTTCAGTCCCCAGAGCATCAACCGGGACACCTTGCCGCTGTGTCCTCCCAACACTTTCAGATTACTTCACAGCCAATCTCTAGGCCACCTTGACGGGAGATGTAACCTGGCTGTCTGCTGTGGGGCCCCTTGCTCTTCCTTCCACACCCCTTCTCCAAGCTTCTGCCACTGCTCTGAAAAAGTGGTGGGGAAATGTTCACTCTCAGGCGGGTTGGATCTGGGCCCATTATTAATATACCTCACATCTCCAAACCCTGGGAAGCTGTGATGGACACAGCTAGCCCTTGCGAACATTCCCTGTTTTTGGCACCGATATTTTTCACAGAGATGTGACAAATGTCAGTCAAATAGCCTGATGTCTTGAGGAGCTGAAGCCAAGGTGGCTGCAGCTAAACCAGATGCCCTGCTGCGCTCACTGTGGCAAGTATCTACGCTGACCATACACAGCGGGCTTGAATTTGTGCTAAGTAGTAGTGTTAGTGTTGGACCAATTAGTAGGCTCAAATAAGAAGGCTTGAATTTAGATCAACTTTGGACTAAATCCGAAGGCTTGAATTTGGACCCAACGCAGACCTGCAGCTGCTGTGTAAGCAGCACCCCTCTCTCCCTTCTGCAATGGGTCACACTGACCAGCTTTCCCTGTGCTACAACACAGGAGTGCTCAAATAAAGCCTAGCTCCAGTTGTCTTGTAAATCTAATCATAGTTTATTTCTTGGGTAGTGTGGGCTTAGGAGGTCCTGTAAGTCTATCTGGAATTCCTAGCCTGAGTAATATGGATAGAAGGGTTGCTTTAAAAAGAGCAATATACTCTTGGGTTATTGGCTCTAAAGAGCTCCAGAGACCAGCAGTCAATGAAGATAAGCAGCAGAGACCAACTAGCAGAGTTGTGGCAGCCAGCACCTATCCGTGTCAACCACTGACGCTGCCTGGTAGGATCAGAGCTGTAACACTAACAGCTGAGAGCCATCGGCACTCAAGGCCCAGTGTGGCTAGCAGAGCTGCACTTTGCTGATTGATAATCTGTACCTGCATCTAGCATAAGAACCCTCACCTCATTGGTAAATTGATGCCCTGGGCTTCTGACCCTCAGTGAGTTTTTGGGTGGGTTCTATAGCTTTTATTGCTCCTGTTAGGAACAAAACAATCTTGTCAGTAATTTCAAAGTTCCATCCATTTGATAATAAGATTCAGAGCTGTAACTAAATGAAGTTTGAGCTTTCACCCAATGCAGCCCTGCGGTGTGAAGTTTACCATCTCCTCCTGTGGATCTGCCCTGTACCCAGCTCATGTGCTGCACCCCTCTAGAGTGGAGCCAGGGAGACCTGAGTGGGAATGGGCACACCCTGTGAAGGTGGGCCGGTAGCCGTGTAGCATTGGACCTTTGCGTGGCTATTACAATTGCTGTGGCTTTCTGTTTTGGGGGCCCTTGTGAGGTGTTCTTAGTCTTAGAGGGGAGCTACTACCATCGACCTTACTGTACAGCCCTGCCACTGCTGCTGGCTGCTTCCTCCACTGACCCCACGTCTCCCTCCATGTGTATCCCCTCTCCCCAGTCATTTACCCGAGCCTCTAGGTGGCTGGCATCAGTCTCCTTCATTCAACCGGTTCCTGCTGTCACCCTGGATTTCTCTACCGTGGAGCTTTTCTTGGCCTTTCTGTTTTGCTGCCAGGTAAATAGGTCCCTCACCGAGTTCCGGGGACTTCTGCGTGTCATATCTCCTTGTGGCCCTTATCAGCTGACTTCTGGTGGAAGCCGGCACCCCTCTTTTTCTCCAGATTGGGTCTCCCCAGGGAATCCTTTCCTTCTTCATTCTAGAGGAAACTGTGGATCAAGGCTAGAAAACGTCTTTGGAAGGCTGTTTTGTTCTGCTCTGCTCTGCTCTCCTTTGTTGATATGTCCTCTGCAGATGACCCAGCACCTCTCTTTATAACATGAACATATTGGGAATCCTCTAAACTGTGGATTTTTAAGTCTGCCTTTGGCCCTGCTAAAACTGAGAGCCCACATAATGCCATACTCCAATAATTAAAAAGTGATTTGCAGGCATTTATTTCCTTCTTTTCATTATTCCTTCAAACTTAACATTTTATTTCTCAGTCTGGATAATCCCAGGGTCCCAGGGTACTGATGGGGACCCCCAGTACTGGCAGTTGATTGTCAGATCCCCTCAGGGGCTCGGGCCAGGTCCTCGCTTCCATGAGGAATGGAGCCACGGATGGAGGAAGTTGTGGAGGGTGGGGCAGCTCCCATTCGGTCCCACCTGCTGGGTTCGAGCGCCCTTGCCTGGCAGGACTTCTGAAGCAGTCCAAAATCTTGTCTTCCACCCAGTGAAGCACAGTGTAATGACAAGAAGGGCGCTTCAGTAAGCAGTAAACATGGATTTCTGTCTACATTAATTTTTCATTTTACAGTTTTTGTGGTCATTAGAGAAGATAAGATTTATAACCAAATTACCACTCCATTTTTAAGAAGTAAATATAAAAAGAGACAACATTATTCTCTTTAAACGATATGTGAAACTTCACTCCATTTTAAAATGTTAGAGAAATTTTGAAACAGAACTGGTAAGAAAGCTCATGAATAATGATGTCCATCTGAGGTCCTTTTATGAGACCATTTATATGCTCTTAGAACCCATACGCTAGTGGGTAACAGAACATACTTGCTGTATAAGCTCCCAGGCATTCAGCTTCTCACAGGGAGGATGCTTAATGAGAAGCAAAAGGTAGAAAACTTCCCACACTAATTCTTTGAAAAGGTCCAATTTTTATCCTATGCCAGTAACACAATCTGTTACGGTGCAATTGAATTGGCAAGTGCTCAACAAATAATTTCCAGGTTTAATCATTATTTCCTAAAGCTTTACTAAGTTAGTAACACTGCAGGCTAATGATTCAATTTCATTTTAATGTCATTTGTTCATATGCTTAATACACATAGACCATGCACTTAATGTAGGTGCAATCACAAGGGGCAATTGTGGTTCTGAATCTATATTGTCGTCTTTTAGGACTTTTTAAAATGGGAAAGTGGGAGGTTTTGGGTGATTTCTATGATTAATTTTAAAGTAGCATTTTATTCAAGGATGTTTGAGATAAAGTATTTGTTCCTATTAGGAAAAAAGAAAACACTTTTCACTTGGAGCAGTTTTTATTTTCTTGTTTCATAATTAAGCTATTTCCCACATCTTAATTATGCAGCCAGCACTAAGATTTCTACAAGCCTGCCTTAACAGAGTGTTCTCATTTAAGGAAATTAGATCTTTTGAAAAGTCTTCCACTGTGAGAGCTTTGCTAAATAATAACTTCCTCCACATACATCACCTACCACCACCACTGCATCTACACCCCATTCTTCAGCATCACCTAACAACCCTAATTCCAACAACCCTAATTCTAAACAAAACTGAGATCTGGCTGCTACGGTCACCTTGATCTCCTTGGTCACACTCATCTCGCTGTAACAACTTCCAAGGATTCCTCATGATACCCCACACCTACCAACCTAGGGCTGCTGAAAGAATCTTATATTCTCATCTTAAAGCTCATGAGCAGATTCCCACCTGGGAAAAAGTCGTAACTTCTTGCCATGGCTCATAGACAGCCCTGCTCCTTATGCCTCATCCCGAGGTGTAATGCTAACTACCCTGTGCATGTGGAGGTGAAATTCTTTAGCATATTTGCTAGGCTGAACTAAAATCCTGAAATATTTCTGTGTGCTGGCAGTTAGCGCCTGCCTGTCAGTACTGTGAGCCACTGAGAGCCCTTTCCCTTTTCTCGAGAAGTCCCAGGAGAGGTACAGGGTGGGCCAGGGGACCAGGCCTGAGTCCCAGCAGAGGTGCTGCCCCTGAGCCAGCCACTGGCATCCTAGCAAGCAAATGCTTGCCCATCTACCCCTGCACCTGCCACGTGAAGTCCCCTCCTATAGCTATTTTGTGGACCTAGAGGCCCTCCAATGTATCTTATTAAATATCATATGCCATTTGTGGTTAACACTTAATATTTTGCCTAATATTAAAGATAAGTATTTTGTGTTTTCTCTAGATAGTTGTATTACATTCAGTTTAATTGATGCATATATGATTTTCTCTGAATTATTCTGGTATGTAATTACTATGGGTATGACTATAATATTGAAAGAAATGATGAGGACATTATTCTCTTTAAAGATCATATTGAAGGGGCTGGGGATTTAGCTCAGCGGCATAAGCACCTACCTTGCAAGCAGGCGGTCGTGAGTTCGATCCCTGGTACCGATAAAAATGAAAAAGTCAAAAAAAAAAAAAGAGCATATTGAATTTATACCATGAGGAAAAAAATACATACATACATATACATACACACACACACACACACATATATATATATATGAGAATCAAACAGGATCTCATGTTTGCTGGGCTGGCACAGTGCTGCTGAGCTCTATCCCTGACCCAACATTAGTTTTGGTTTTAAAACCTAGTGATTTTATGTACAAATACAAAAGTTAAAACATACGCAGTACAGTCAATGGAAGGTCACACCATACACACACAGTTAGCTCTCCACTGCTTCTGACAAACTTTAAAATACTTGCTGAGATAAACTCGAATTTAATAACATCCCAAAGAAATGATTTTGTGATCAAGGGGAACTGATTTTCAATTTTTTTCTTTTACCTAGACTAGGATGTTTTTTTGATCTCTCTATTCTTGCTTTCTTCAAATGACAGAGTACGTTTCCTTATGGGTGGACGCCATGGAGAATTTAAGTTCCTGCCTCCCTCTGGCTATGCCCCTTGCTATGAAGCCTTACTTCCAAAAGAGAAGATGCGATTGGAGCCTGTCAAGGAATACAAACGTGATTCTGATGGCGTGAGAGACCTGCTGGGTACCACACAGTTCCTTTCCCAAGCTTCTTTTATCCCGTGCCCCATTGACACCAGTCAGGTAGGTTCAGATTGCCAATGAGAGGCAACCACCATGGATGAAATAGGAAAGTTAAATCCTTATTTTTACCATGTTGTGTTTGAACCATGCTTACTATACATTCTATAGATTTGTGAATGTGAACAAATATTCTCCGTGTTGTTCCATATGTAGAGACTCAGTTTTTTGAGGACTTCTCAATGAACATATTGAGCACCTGCTACATGCAGTGTGCTGTACTCTATGAAAAGCAGGCAGAGATGTTCTATTATTCTCTGAAAATTCACAATCAAATTGAAGATACAGAAGCAAATGTATTCTGCTGGAAAGGCCAAATGTAATAGATGCAAAATGAACAACATGCACAAGTCAGTGCTAAAGATGTCCTTGAGGCCAGAGTATTTCTAGGAGTCTGTGTAGAGCAGATGGATTCAGTCAAGACCTTTGCTAAGCTGCAACGTGAAGGGGCCTCCAAGGGCACTGGAATAGTGATGAGAAAAATAAGGGCCTGGGAGTAGAAACAGCAGAGCTAGGGGGCAATGAAGATCTTCTCATAGCAGAACAATTGGAGGAGGAGAACAGCACAGGAGGCAAGCTGGAAAATAAAAGTAAAAGAAATGAAATAGTATAGAAGGTGTGAGATAAAAGGTGCTGATAAATAGCCAGTGTCTTTCCCCTTCCAGGGTGTGTATTTTGCGAGAGACACATTCACATACTTATGACAAGATACATGCAGTAGCACTCAGCATTTCTCTATTCTAAAGTGTTATAGAAAACGCATGCAATAGGAGCTCACTCTAAGTCACGTGGGGTTAATGACTTATAGAAATAATAGCTCCTTTACCCCGTAGAGTATCTCTAGCATGCATCTTCCATAATACATGAAGTTTACATTTATTTTAGGGAGTAGATATAGGTACTTAACACTTCTCAATTATTTTAATTCACCTTCCTCTCCCCTCCTCACTCTCTCCTTTAGTCTCTAGACCCTCTTTCCCCATGTTCATTATTATTGTTACTTTTTAGTTCATGTTTCTGACATAAAATGTTTACAGCCATCATGGGTATTTGGTACATGTACATCATGCATCTTAAACCTTTTTACATCCTCTTTCCCTTCCCTTCTTCCCCCTCTCATCAATCCTGTTACATGCAATCTTGTGTATATATTCATATGGTTAGTGATACTGAGTCCCTGTGATACAGGAACTGAAGCATTTCTCTTCCTGGTTTAGAGCCTCCTGGAGCTCCTTAAATGCAGAGAAAAGGGTCGGTAGGGATCTGGGAGACGTTCGTGACCAAGAGCTGGTCCTAGGATTTGGATAGTCATGTTCCTGTGTTCTCTAGATATTGCAAAGAAAAAAACTTGTCTTTTACTGTCCCATGTTCTGTAACTGTATGCTCGTGAATTAAACTCAGTTTGACACATTAACAAGAGAAAAACAGATTTCAATCATCTCATACAGAGTTTACAGAGATACAGGACTCAAGGAGGAGGTAAGTATTTGAAGCTCGCGTACCATCTGACAAGGGAAAGTGAGGAGGATACAAACACTTCTGAGAAAGTAGCTGACCTTAAGAAAAGTTGTGTGGGCCTTTAGAAGATCAGATGGGAGATGTGATCATGTGTGACAGTGCTTGGGTATGGTGCTGATATTTCTTGGTAACAAGAGTCTGTTTCCTGGAAGGAACCATTGAAATCTTTTGAGACGCTCTTCTTTTAAGCAGATAGTGGGAATTTTCAAAATGCTCTTTCCTACCTCATTTGTTTTCCAAATGTCTGAACCTCAGGATAATCCTCATGCCACTATAGCATATTTGAAGACAAGAAACCTGAAGGCCGAGAACCAGAGTAGCTTCCCTGTGGGCCCAGGGCTGCTGTGCCCGTTTGGGGAAAAACGAGCATGCACTGGGTCCCCAGTGGGTGGCCTTCGCCTACTGGGTCATCAGAAATGTGTGTGATACTCAGACAAGGCTTCCTGGAGGAAGGTGACCCAGAAAAAGTTCAAAAGAGTGAGAAAAATTTTTGATGAGGGGAGAGAAGAGGGCTTGATCCCAAAATAAAAAGAATTATCTGAACATACAGCATTGAAGATTTGGTCATCAAACAACAGAGATATACCCACAGTCCAGAATAACTTTGACATCGAGGCTCAGAGCTGAATGCATATGGACCTTGTAATGATGGACATGTGGCAGACTAATCAATTCATAGAGTTCTTGTGGGAACGGAACAATTTGTTCCCTTCAATAAGACCTTGTAATTTTTTAGAACCTACCATTCTTTGAAATTACTGTCAAAGGAGAAGTTCAATATAAGGCACAGTGTCAAGCCTACCTGGGCACATTAACCCTTTTCTGCAGGCTAAGTACTGTTAACTAGAGCACTTAATGCCTGGCTTCACTAGAGTTCTGCTTGGATGCCACCTTCTTCCTTGCTGAGCACCAGAAGGAGCACCCAACTCACAGCACCTTTCCCTGGGGACTGGAGACAGCCAGGAAGCAATGAGCCAGCCAGTGTTATTTTGTAGTAGGCGTTTGCCCTTGAGGTCCCTGAATTTATGATTAGGGGTTATTTGTGGTGGCCTCTTTCCACAGTAGTCAGCTCCATTTTTCTCTTTCACTGAAGTGTTCCTGTGACATGTAATTCACCTTCAGTATGTCATCAACTATGGTGCTTTTAGTTTAAACAGGTAACCTTAATTAGTAAGAAAATTTAACAGTTATAACTTGTTTGCTAATATTTTTCCCTTTGTGCTCCTTATGCAAATATCATGCCACTTACTTTGAATTTCTATAATTAGATTAAGTTGAATTTTTTTTAAAAAACTTTTAATTAAAAGGCAAATAGTAATTATAACACGTAGACATTTTCCCTTTGATTTTTAGACTTTACTGAGTTGGTACTTTTTTGTTTATTTGGTTTTTTTGTTTTTTGCAAGACAGTGTTTTCTCTGTGCGCATCACTCTAACCCACGCAAACTAGGGTTAGTTTAAGAGCAGAACTTTTAACAATGAAACATCAGTGCTCATTGTAGTGAAGGTGAGAGTTCAAAGGCCAGGTGGATGATGCGCAGATGAAAAGGAAGAGGATGCAGGGTCCCCCTGAAATGACAACTGGTGCCTGGCTTTACCTGATAGCTACCAAGCAAGTGCGGGTCCAGTGTTAGCCATCCACCAAGCACCAAAAGAAATGAGAAATCTCAATTTTTATACAAAATGTCCCATTTCTTAGGGACTGTCAGCCAATAAACATGGAAATAATAGTAACAATAGCAAATTAAAGAAAACAGAAAAGAAAGTGGACCTTCAGTTTATCATCTCTATAAATGATAGGAATAAAGTTGCAGGAAAACACAGAGGGATTCTCTCTAGAGGTTATCAGGGAGGCTTCACAAAAGCAATGACACTGGAGCTAAATTCAGAAGGACAAATGGTTGAAGACTCAAAAGAAATGCAGAATAGCAAAAACAATCCTGGGAACAAGAGCTAAACCAGGAAGTATCACAATCCCAAATCTAAAATTATATTACAAAGCTACAGCAATAAAAAAGTATGATACATACAAAAACAGATGTGTAGATCAATAAATCAGAATATAGGGTGCAGAAATAACCCCACCTGTTTGCCAAAGGAGCCAAAAACACACTGGAGGAAAGGTAGCCTCTTTAACAAATGGTTCTGGGAAAACTCAGCACCCACATGCAGAAGATTGAATCTAGACCCATATCTCTCACCATGTATGAAACTCAAATAACAGTGGGTCAAAGATCTAAATATTAAAACAGAAACACTATGAAAGACATAGTTGTAGGCAAGGACCTTCTGAATGTAACTTCACTGGAATAATACCAAAACTCAATAAATGGAATAACATCAAACTACGGTTTCTGCACAACAAAGGAAATAACCAACATAGTAATGAACAAACCTGCAGACTGGGGGAAAATTGCTAGTTATCCCTCAAACAATTAATAATCCGGAATATGTAAAGAATTCAAAAAAATTAAAGCCCCTCAAATAAAATGCCCAATCAGAAATGACAACTAAAATGAGTAGCTACTTCTCAGAAAAAGTACAAATAGCCAACAAATACATGAAAAATTGTTCATGAGTCATTAGAACAACACTGAGATTGTATTTTATACCAAAAAAAATGCCAATCATCAAGAAATCAAATAGTAACCAATTTTGGCAAGGCTGTAGGGGAAAGAAGCTCTTCTGCATTACTCCTGGGAATATAAACTAACACAACCACAATGGGAATCAGTATGAGGATTTCTCAAAATGAGAAAATCCACTTGACCCAGATCTTCCCCTTCTAGATGCTTTCTCAAAAGAGTTAAAGACATTGTATTATAGTGATGCATGCTTACCCATGTTTATAGCAGCACAACTTATGGTAGCTAACTCTTGAAAGCAGCCTATAAGCCCACCAACAGATAAATGGATAAAGAAAATGCAGTTTTTAAACACATTGGAGTACTACTCTGCCATAAAGAAAGATAAGCCTGAACCATTTGTAGGAAAATGGATACACCTGGAGACCATAATGTTAAGTAAAATGAATCAGACACAGAAGCCTTAATGTTACAGACATTTCTCTGATGTAAGAAATCCAAAATACAAATAAAGAAACATAAAAGATAAGAAGTAGAAAGATAAACATTTTAAGGGGTAGAAATGGGGAAAGGGATGAAAAAAGAATCAATGTGTTATGTACATGTACCAACTACCCACCAGGAATGTAATCATTATGGAATGCAAATACGTGCTAGCGTGTACTAAACATGTGTGCAAAGTACCAGTAAGCTCAAAGTTCACATGTAAGGGGGCAGAACTGCAGAACAGTGTGGTCTTTGAGGAAAGTTTCAGACATTTGGAAAGCATGAGTTAGTGGAGACCTCAGTGAAAAAGGAACATTATATAACTGGTTGATACATCTAGTCTTTTCTTAGGAGTGCTATGGAGCACTTTGGGAAAACACACCGGAGCAGTGTTTTAATGCGATCTTTTTATTGATTTCTTGTTTTTGTTGTAGTGCACTTGTCTATCTGGTCACAGAGGAGAATAGATTGGTGGGGAGTTGGGAAGAGCAATTAGAAGACTTTTGCAATGGTCCAGGGAGAAAATAATGCGATATAGCAGAGGAGATCCTTCAGAAAGACTCAGGAATAAGCATCATAGATGTCATGACAGATTGAAAGAGAAGGTAATGTCAATGAGGGAGAAAGAAACTAGGCTTCCTCCTAGTTTCCAGGCTTAAGAAAGTAATAGACCATTTAGCAAAATGAAAAATAAAATCAAGAAGAGAGAAGTATTTTGAAGGAAGGTTGATGATTCCAGCTTTCAGTACTTACTGAGGTCACTTTGATGAAAATGTGGATCTGAACTTGGAGGAGACCATGGGCAGAGTGCACTGACTTAGAGTGACCGACCACCGAGGGGTGGAGGTCTTTCAAGGCGAGACGACAGAGTGAGAAAGTAAGGGGGGCACCCACATGTAAATCACATGCAACACAGACGTCTGCAAGAAGGTGTGATCACAGAGGCACCAGGAGCAGAGAGGCATAGGACTGGCAGAATGTGGCAGGAAGCAGGTCCTGCTCGGTGACACGCCAGAGGACTCCAGTGGGACATCTGACCTCTACAGAGTCTGTGATGGAGCTCAGTGTAACAAATCCTTCTAGTTTTGACTTTTTGCTTGCTATTTTTTTTTTCTTTTAGGTTGTTTTGCCACCTCACCTAGAGAAGATCCGAGACAGATTGGCTGAGAACATCCATGAGCTTTGGGGAATGAATAAAATAGAGCTCGGCTGGACTTTTGGCAAGGTGTGTGGTTCAGTGACCAGCCCAAGGCCGCGGGTTGGGTTTCCTTGTCACTGGGAAGGGTGCTCCAGTCACTTGGACAGGCATGGGAGCTTCACGAGCCCTTCCCCTGCCACCTGCCTGCCTTTTCCTCCGGTCGGCAGCACCCTGTTATTTATCTGCAGTCAGGGACCTGTGGCTTTCAGATGTATCACTAAGATTAATGGATACCCAGAGTAGGAATGTCTTTCACTAGAAAGTGTTTTTAAATGGAATGTAAATTGACTTTGTTCTGTGGTAAGTATAAGGTCATGTCTGAAGGCAGAAGGACAGGTGAGTTCTCAATCTTCCTGTGACCCTGACTCTCTCAAAGGATACATACCCCACTTAGTTACTAAAAATGTCCCTGCACTCTAACACTTATGTGTGAATATAGCTACCATAAAAGATTTTCTTTCTATATGACCACCTCTCTGCTCTGTGCTTGTGTAAAAGCACAGAGCACTCCTTCAGAGAACTCGGCACAAGCACAACTGGAATTTTACATGTACTTCTATGGATATTTCATTCTGCTTCTGTCCCTGTTAAACTGTCCTGTTTATGAGCCCAATACTGTCTGTGCTCGTCAGTAAACTCCTAATGTCTGGTTCAGTGCCCATCATGGAGTTCATTTACTCGAATGAATGATGAACGAACGAATGAATGAATGAATGAATGAGTCCATGTTTGGCTCCACCCTGTTCAGGACAATAGCCCCAAGCTACATGTGGCTCCTGAGCCTTGAAAAGTTGCTAGTCTGGATTGAGATTTGCTGTACCTGGAAAATACACTCTGGACTTCACACATTTAATGTGAAATCATAATATAGAATGTCTGCTAAGTTTTCTTATATTGATTACTAAGATAGTAATTTGCATATGTATGGTAAAATAAAATACATTGTTAGTATCACCTATTTCTTTTTGCTTTTCTAATGTGGCTAACTAGAAAATTTGAAGTTACAAATACTGTTCACATCTGTGGCCAATTTTTCCTTTCTATTGGACTCTGGGTAGGCTTCTGTGGTCCCTTACGTAATGAAGAATGCAGCCCTTAAGTAACATCATAATGACTTCGGTGGAAGCATGGCTACCATGTGTAGAGCCGCTTCCCTGGGAAGTGTGTTCTAAGTGCAGATGTCTGGTCTGATTACAGCTGCAGAGCAGAAGCCGTTGGTGACTCAGGGACTGTGCAGCAGTTCCTTGAGAGATCATCTGTCCACCCATCAGCAAGTTGCTACCTTTGTCTTACCTGATATGTGTTGCCCAGGCCATCTTTCAAAGTGTGTTCATTGCTGTTTTCCAGTGCAATACCAGCTGTCAAAACTTCATTTATAGTCTTTGTTATCTTGTCACCTAGATACGAGATGACAATAAAAGACAACACCCCTGCCTCGTCGAGTTTTCAAAGCTCCCTGAAACTGAGAAGAATTATAACCTGCAGATGTCAACTGAAACCTTAAAGTGAGTGTTTAATTGAAATGAAGTTGGACTAAACAGTGAGTGGATGGTTTAATGCATTATAACTAAACTGCAAAGATACTTCGCTCTTGCCTGAAAACAGGACACATGCTGATAAATTAGAGGGGATGATGACTATTCATGTCATGAGAGGATCTAGTAAAGTGAATATATTACAAGGGTACCATTGATATTTAGCATACATATTTCTGTCGAGCCCATTTGCTGTTTTCTAGGGACAGGGAAAAGTGTAAGAGATGTAAAAAACAGAATCAGAAGACCAAAAGCCACTTGAAATTCACATTAAATCAAGTAACAAAAAAGATAAGCCATTACTAAAGCCAACCGGAAGTATGGTCTGATTCACTACAATTCCATTTTAAAGCAGCCCTATGACCCCAACTCTGTAAGAGTCAGATCTTACTCTTCCAAGTTGGAGTCTTTCCTTGAATTCCTTTTGTGTTTGTTACCTGTCCTGTCTTGGCAATTTCCTGTTCTCTGACGATGCAGAGCATTCAAGCATCTGTTGATGTAACCGTGTGTGAAAGGTGCTGTCTCCCAGGCTCACCAAGGTGACATCTTCAGTTACACGGGTGCTCCTTGAGGGGCGAGCTTTGTATATCATGGTGTCAAGCCCAGCTTAAGGCACTAAATGGACAATACACAAGAGATATTTGCTGACCTGTGGATTTGAAATTAGATCCTGTCTGCTCTATGAAGTTAGAAGCCAAATATACTTCAAAGTGAATTTATAAACTGGCAAATGTTCCCAAGAGGAATAATTAAGAAAATTCTCTTTTGTGTTCTTGTGCTTGCTATCATCCAGTCACAAGCTGGCAACTTTCGGCTGTGAGACAGTCAGAGCAGTTACCTGTTTCTATAAATAAATTTTATTGTAACAAAGCCAAGCTCATTGGTTGATGGGTATGCTGTCTGTAGCCACAGATATTATGGTGTTTGGGCTCTATAATGGCAGAGTTGAGTAGTTGTGACAAAGACATAAGGCTTACAAGGTCTAAAACATGCACTTTCTGGTCCTTTACTAAAACAGTTGCCAAGCCCTGGTGTGAGTGGATGGCTGTTGCCCATGTTTATCAGCTCATCTGCAGGTTAGGGCTCTTGTCCTTTTTCTTACAGTTGACACTAGTCTTCTTCCTCTGTTATGTCACAGAACTCTCCTGGCTCTGGGCTGCCACATCGCTCATGTTAACCCAGCTGCTGAGGAGGACCTCAAGAAGGTCAAACTGCCCAAAAAGTAGGTACCATTTTAATAGCTCAAAGCATCATGCTTCACCTTGAGTGTCTAAGCTGAGAGAGTGGGAGGCCCCTGTTGAAAGCCAAGTGGTAGCCTAAATATATGTTGGCACCAGCTGAGGAGGTCTCCATTTACATACACAGCAATGAAGCCCTCAGACAGAGCCGGCTGAAAGGGAAATATTTCAACATCTCTCTCCTTTGTGTTCCTTCTGTCTAGACCTAACACTATCATTGTTAGTTTTGAGCTAGAGGGTGTGGAGACCTCAGATGGGTGTGTTGTGCTTGGTTGTATTTGGTATTCAGTTGGCAAAGAACCGTGAAAATGGTTCATAGACATAACAATTCACTCCTCTGGCATTGGACCAACCTTATAAATCTTTTGCGGAAATAGATTTCTCTGCCAAGATTTCATTCGGCCCCCTACATCTCCATTCTTCCCGCCCCCTGTACTCAGACAGAATCACGCATTCTCCCACATTCTGACAGTTGCCCGCTGGGGCCTCCTCCAGCTCCCTCCTCCCTCACTCTTGTGTGTGCCAAGCTTGAGTGTACACATGTACTCACACACACACACACACACACACACACACACAGAGTCATAGTTACTTTGGAACCAAGACAGTGTCAGCCTTCATGAAATCAAATGTTTATCTTCTCTGTCTTTCCTCTTAAGTTCCCAGTTGCCAATCTCCACTCTTACACACAACTTTTGTTGCGAAGGAGAGTGGATTTGGGAGATGGCGAGTATGTGCGGATGTCACCCAGGAGCAGGCATTCTGAGAAGGCAGGTGCAGAACACTATCTTCTGCCTACAGTACACCCTGTCTTTCATGGTGCTCAGACTGCTGAATAGACTGATTCCTGGACTGTCACATTCAGTTCTGGCCAAGGTCTGGGTGACAGTTGCCCTGAGGCTATAGACATCTCTGGACTCGCCTTCCCACATGGCTGCTATCAGCTGCACCCTAGAGTCACTTCACGGTGTGGTCCTGCCTTCTCCATGTATATGGCCCATCTGCTTGGACTCATACTAAGCTCTTTCACATCCTTACAGTACCCGTCAGGTGACAGACATCTGGGACTGTGACTCCGAACTGGACAGTTAACTAGCACTATGGTCACTTCACGCTCACAAATTCTGTGTTGTCATGGTTTTTGTTTCAACCTCTAAAGTAAAGCTTCAGCTTTTTAAGACTGAGTGACCTTTCTTTGCTGACTTTAAAAAAAAATGACTCGAGGTCTAGTTTTCACTGATATGGTTTTAACATTTTGTGTTTTTGCAGTAGGATGAAGGTACTACCAATAATGGCATAAAATGGGAATGTGCCTGTCATTCATAGGGTGTATATGTAGTTCTCTTAGAAATAAAGATGGAGCTGTAATGATCATCTGTTTTCTCCAACAGTTTCCCTCAAAGTCTATTCCATTGGGCCTGGAGTTTTAGCTCATGGTAAAGCACTTACCAAGCATGTGTGAAATCTGTACAATACACTGGCCAGATCAATGGTGGATTAGAAGATTCCTCTGTGGGCTTGAAATAGAGTTTAACTGTCCACCACCAAGGACAGGAAATTCTGACAGTGGCCTTAGTTATACAGAGGACTATGTGACCTTGAACATCACACAGATCTGTTAAAATGCATGTATCCCTTTGCATGTACTTGTAGCTACATGATGACCAATGGCTATAAGCCAGCCCCTTTGGATTTGTCTGATGTGAAACTGTTACCGCCTCAAGAAATTTTAGTGGACAAGCTGGCAGAAAATGCACACAATGTTTGGGCAAAAGACAGAATAAAACAAGGATGGACCTATGGCATTCAGCAGGTAAGAGGTACTGGACCAGACATGCTGGAAAAGTTAGGAAATGTGATCATCCATCAAAATGCCATTTTGCTTTGGAGGGTGTTATTTTGAAAGATAAAAGTTGCCCTTGCACTCTATCCCTCACTCTGCAGTGCTTTTATTATTTATAGAATCATGAGCTGAATGGAATTGGTCATGGTCACAGTGACAGAGACTCTGGGCATGAATCCAGTTTTGTAGAAATGGATGTTTACCTTTCCCTTTGGGTTCACTCGCAATCTGTACCTCTCTGTGTATGCATCCACCAGCTGCATCTTAGTTCATTCTCTGATGTGGCACATTATAGAGAGTCGAGCTTTCATGTCACTCTCCAAGGTCAATAGCAGGTTCACACAAATTAATGTCATATATCAGCAGGTTTTGCAGAATGATCCCACATATCTCCTGTCATGGAGAAAAGATGGGAAAACTGACCTAGGTGGGGAGCAAACCATACTGCCCACAAGTCTGTGCTCCCTTACTTCAGTCTATCAAGCCTAGAATTCCTAGGCCTAGCTCTTGGCTTCACAGAAAGCAACCTGGCAGCCAAGCAAAGGCAAGGAATCAGGCAGAGATTGGAGCCAAGAGTCAGTCCCAAGCTTCTGATATACCTCTTTTCCTTAAAAGACTTCCCTCCACTTAGTTATCATCAGTGGTGGAAGTAGTACCAGGAAAGTTTCAGGGGTGGCTATGTGGGCATGTGTTGCTTCATATCTGATCCTCTAAACCAGCATGTATTTGGAAGCCAAGAAGAGTGCAGGTGTGGAAACCACGGAGGGTGATTCAAACAGCACATCATGCATAGAGGGTCAGGTGATTTCTTCTGCAGTTGTGCCTTCTTTAAAGGAACTGAGAAGGACTACTTCAGATGTGTGCCTTTTTCAGTGAAACAGACCTATTCTGGCTCTGCTACCTTTTCTGATCTTTCTCTGTGAAGACTTCTTAAGGGACTGTTGTATGGAAGAGGCGCTCATTGTTTAAGTGGTGGTGTGAGTTTCCATGAGAGAATAGTTATGGAAATCCCATCTGCCTTGCCTTGGGAAGGGATGCTTCTAACCAGTTTCATGACACTTTTCATTTGCATTCTGACAATTAAAATGTATGTCTTTCTTAATGCCAGCTTTGAGCATTAGTAAAAATTTTTTCCTTTATACTCTTCTCATTCTGAAGAGGAACAGTAAACACATACATTACTAACTATGAAGGCACTCAGGGAAGAGCAGGAAGCAGCCAGGAACATGTGAGTAGGACGAGCTACTTGTAAAATTGAAATATGTTTTCTTGGCACCTTTCTCCTTGGGCTTTACATAGGACTTGAAGAACAAAAGAAATCCCCGTCTGGTGCCATATGCATTGCTGGATGAGCGTACAAAGAAGTCAAACAGGGACAGCCTGCGTGAGGCCATCCGGACGTTTGTCGGTTATGGGTACAACATTGAGCCATCAGACCAAGAGCTTGGTAATGAGCCAAGAGGGCTCACTCTCTGTGGCCCCAATTTACTAAAGAGACCCTATTCTTGTGAAATGCTAATTTTAAATAGGTCTAACTTGTGCATTTAGAGATGGTACTTTTTAAAAATGTATGTGTTTTAAAGAGGAAAGGGGCCACACGTGCTATAAAGCAGGGCCCATTTGCACGTGTTTCTGCGGTGAGTATGTCTGTGACCCAGTGCCACTGCAAACTCATTATCTTCTAGGGAGGCTTAGTTTTTCAGGATAGCTGGCTATAAAACCAAGTCATCTTTATTTCCTTTATACTCCTTGAATGGAAACACTGGCTTACTTTTGGATCAGGTAATCACGGCCCAAGTTTAATTCTGAGATTGATTAAAATCACCAGTTTGTTAACCCTCTATCCATAATTGACTACCAATGGCCACTGGATAACAATTTAAATCTTTAGTAATATTTTGCCTGAGTACATATCCAAAGATCTTTCAAAATCAAGTACCATAACCAAGGACCACTTAAATGGATGCAGGCAATAATAAGCAATATGCTGAATTTTATAGCTAAAGTCATATACTATAGTATACATAACTTGAAAAACATCACCAGGTTATAATCAATAAACATGGCATCCCATAAACATGTTGTCCCTTACCTCAAGAAGGATACTAGGCCACAGGTGCAATGTAAGTTTTTCATGGGAAAGCTTTAGAATGAGACCTGGTTTAAGATCTTTTAAACTCAATTTATGGACTTTGAATAAGTGATTTAACCTTTCTGAGCCTTTTCCATCCCAATCCCGTAAGACTGTTGTGACATAAAACCCCTGAAGTATCTACTACCAAGTTATTGCTCATTGGGTGGTGGGAGACGTATGACCATCTTTGTTGTTATCATTAAGATCTTTTAGAGAATGCTACCTAATTATTAAAAGTCTGTGTTTTTTCTTCCCCACTCCACCTTCAACTCACCTTCCTGCTCATAACAGCGGATCCAACTGTAGAGAAAGTCAGTGTAGACAAGATTCGGTTTTTCCGGGTAGAGCGGTCTTACGCAGTGAGATCTGGAAAGTGGTATTTCGAGTTTGAAGCAGTGACTGGAGGAGACATGCGAGTTGGCTGGGCCAGGCCAGGCTGCCGGCCGGACATTGAGCTGGGGGCTGATGACCAGGCCTTTGTGTTTGAAGGCAGCAGGGTAAGTGTATAGTGCTCACTCATCTTCATTCCAAGTGTGCCCTCTGCATACATTTCCCAGAGGTTGGAAGCCTGGATCTCAGGCTTCAAAACAAGTGACCACAGTCATTAGGTAATAGACATTAAGTAAACTTCAAGTTGCTCTGGTAGAGGAAAGAACTGTAGACCCAAATCCTTTGTGTTATATAGACCCAAGTCCTTGGGTAAACATCTCTCTATCTATTCCTCTATCCAAACCCATTCCACAGGCAATTCATTGATCTCTATGTAGCCAGGGAAACTTACCAACTTGTCTTAGAGAAAATCTAGTTGGTTATGATAGCTGACTGAGAATCTGAAGACTCAGGCTATCCTGCTCGGCCTGTGTCTCTTGGTTGGATCCACCTGTAAGACAGACCTCTTCCCTGTAAGTTTATCCATGGGAAAGAGGTGAGTCCTTGTAGAAGGCATGTGCCCCTGCCAGTTGATAATGTATAATGTTCTCTCTCCACTTTCAGGGCCTACAGAGCCTCCAGTTCTCTAAGCCCTGGCATCTTGTTTTGTAGGGCCAGCGCTGGCATCAAGGGAGTGGGTATTTTGGGAGAACCTGGCAGCCAGGCGATGTGGTCGGATGCATGATTAACCTGGATGATGCCTCAATGATCTTCACACTGAATGGGGAGCTGCTGATCACCAACAAAGGCTCTGAACTTGCCTTCGCTGACTATGAGATTGAGAATGGTAAATCTGCCATCCTGCCTGCATTCCAACTCCATGGGTTTGAAGAGAGCCCCAGGGAAAGCTGAGCGCATCCGTATTCAGGGTACACTGTCCTTTGCAAATTTGAAACACAAATGCCCAAGACTAGACCTTATAGTTAACATTTTTGATGAGTCAATAATAGTGATAGCTAGTGTACATAGCATAAAAATAAATTCTCAGCTTCCAAAATTAACCAAGAAGCTCTCCTCTAGTTCCCTGCCCTGCACCTTGTCATCTTTAGGCTTCCCAAGTTTCCCAGTATTATAAAGGAAATGCAAATCATATAAGGACTAATGTCCTTGGCAGTAGAGCAAATCAGTAAATTAAAGAATTAGCCTTTTACTCTGCTTTAAATTGCCAGTCTGAAGTGTGTGTGTCCTTGAGCTTGATACTTTGATGAGAATACCTGAAATATAAAATTAGACCTAACTGTTCCCTTGGATGAAATATAATTTATTTTGAAATTCCACAATGCTGTGGAACCAAATGACCATGCATAGTCTAAACTCAGACCAGTGCTTCCAGCTGAATGAAAAAGCAGCTAAAGCTCATTTCTTCTGTCTGTATGATACCCAAGAAGAACACAAGATTGTTGGCAGGTAGGGGAAAGGGCACTGGACAACACGTCAGCACACATGTTCCTGTCAGCCCTAAACTCCAGGGTACCTCTGTTTGCCTGCCTAGGTTTTCCTCTCATCATCTCCACCACAGTGGAGGACAGATGCAGTAAATTCCAAGTTCTCCCAAGACATAAGGTTCAGTGATGATGGCTGAATACCTGTTGTGGGCACATTGTCTGCCTAGTGCAGGAGGAGTTGTTGCCCCCCGCCCGGCAGGGGTCCAGGACTATCATTCTGCCTTTTCCCCTGGGACATCTTAGTTGACTTTAACCTCTTTGGTCTCATTTCCCCCTCTGGAAATGATTAGAGATCCTTTAACTCTGAATTCCTGAGTCCTTACAGAAATAAGCAGCCCCTGTCTAAAAAGCTAAAAATATGTAACTTCTTCATAGGCAAGTGAACATATATACATGGAACTGTATATACATGATAGAAATGTTGTTTATTTGTAATGCTTTTAGTTTTATAAATGGCTTATGCAGTGTTTACACCCACCTGTTGTCTGCAGTGTGCATATATAAATGCACCATCTAGGAGCTTCAATGATTTTTATAAGTACCAAAGATATGGGGAAAAGGGAAAGCTGCAACTCATTTTCCTAAAGAGACAGAATTATTAAAACCAGGTGGGGTCAAATTTTTATGCCTTCTGCAGAAATTGAAAATTAAAGTTTAAGTAAAATTCTCTTTGAAGAGATTGGAAGAGTTTGCCAGCATAAGGATCAGCTTCTGTGCTGGTCAGAGGTAAATGAGAGAGAGCTGGAGGAGGACATCAGAGCAGTGTGGGCAACTAGCAGCCGCTTCCACCGTATGCAGCCCTGGCTCTTGAAGCCAGAGACTAATGAAGAACTAGAAGATCCGGCTCCTCCCCAAGGAAAGTCATCTTGGTGTAGAAAGTCTCAATACTTTTTTCTGGCTTTACTGTTGTATGAACCAAACAAGATCATACATCTATTAGTCTTCAGTTATAAAGAGTAAATCAAAATCGCATATGCTGTGCAGAGTGATGAGAACTTTATAAGGTCCAAAACCTTGATGCTCAAAAGTGTAGTGCTTTGTAAGAAATGCAGCGTATGGCCCTGCAGCAGACTAGAATCAGAATCTGCGCTGGGGATTTAGCTCAGTGGTGTAAGTGTCTGCTGGCAAGCACAAAGTCATGAGTTCAATCCCTGGTACCAAAAAAACAAAAACAAAAAAAACCAGAATCTGCATCCTGAGAAGAGACTCCCCTGATTCATGTGCACCTTTAATCTGAGGAGCAGTGTTCTAAAGCATGTGCTCATGCAAGGAGGAGCAGGGTTAAGAGGCTAGTTTTGTAGTTTTAGAATAAATAAGATGAAAGTATGAAAAGGTGACTAATCAGTAAGAGAAGCCAGAGAATTATAAATGGCAAATGACTAAGGCAGAATTACTATAAGAATAGCATTTGACTTGATTGTTAAATTAAAGATACAGAATGTCTGCGTCTGAAAAGTGTGTTTCCATGAAATGATGCCAATGGCGTGACATCAGGGAAATTCAAGAGAAAGTGGCACAGCAAAAAGATGGTAGGTTTGGGTTTAGAATGAGTGCATGATAGAGCCAGAGAGGTAGACACAACAGAGGCCGGCGGTGGCAAACCTATGGCACACACGCCCAGCCAGCTGTTGTTGAAATCTCTAAAAACTTCACCATCACTGATACAGTCAGGAATCTCAAATACCAAGTCTCAGTCGTCTTAATCAGGACTGTTGCCTTTTTGATGAACTAACAGAGATTAGTAAGTAGTGTAGTTACGTGTCTTGCACACATTTGTGTTGTCATTGATTGTTTGGTTATTTTTTATGCCTAGATCTTGTAACCTGAACAACTACTTCTAAGGCAGCAATATGCAATATATTAACTAGTGTTGATTTCTCACTGTTTTTCTTAAAATTCTGTATTATTTCTATCCTTTTTTCTGTTTTGCTTTTTTAAAATCAAAGAAACTTGCCTACTCAGAGATAAACACCCTTAGTTTTCACTCTTCGGGAAACAGGGACTATGACAGGATTTGAGCAGAGAGCTGATTTTGGGGAGCTCTGTTTTCAGGGATCATCCATGATAGAAAGAGATGCCTTGCAGTCCTTGTGTATATAGAAACATGATTTGACCTTCAGAATAACAAATTCTATTATTAGGAAACTATCCCAAAATAGCATTGTACTACAGGATGTTCACACATTATACCATAGCACTGCATCACAATTTAGTAACACAGAGACAAAGTAGTTGGAAGGGTCGTTTGATTCTCTGATAGCTCAGGAGTTGGCGAAGGACAACTGAAAGGAGGTTGCTGTGCCATTCTGTGATGGCAATAGCCCAGAGGCCTAGACTAACCACATATTATCTCCTGCTCCCTGCAAAAAGCAGAAACAACAGTTCTTGCCTTGAGTTTGTTAGAAATGTCAATAAACATTTTACGCATTGTAACTCACCCATACGGCATAATGCCATTTATACTTGTGCTCTTCTGGTCACCATCTTGTCAGCCTTGTTTCAGGCCATTATCTCAGCAGGAAGTCTTTGGCCCTTGGGGGGAAAGAGGGAGACAGACTTTACGAATGTGGCTGTTTTACTCCCTGGGTTGTTTTGTAAGTTGTCATCTCCATCTTCTTCTGCATCCTAGATAATATCCTTGTATATGTGTCCTTAGATATTTTTTTAATCATGTTGATTTGCCTTGGTCCCTGGCCTGGACCATCACAGCTCTCTGTGTTGTCACCCGAAGGTGTCTCAAAGTTTAAGACCTTCCAAAATGAAAGCTTTTCTAACAGCCTTCTCTTTTCCTCCATTTAGAGGAAAGGCGATATGATCCTCAACAGCCTGCTGACCTCTGAGTGGTAACATTTGGGGGAGGCTTTCTCCCACTCCAGCTTTGATACTGGCAGGGGACCTCTCCTCAGTTACAGCTGCTCTGGTCCAGCCAGTCCAGTTTAACAGCTCCCCCAGCTCTGTTGGAAGCTCTTCAGAAGGCAGAAAATGAGGAGTATTTACACGAAGTGTATCTGCCACCAGCCATCTATCTGTGTATGCGTGTGCGTGCACACACACACACACACACACACACACACACACACACACACACACAGGTGCCAAAGGGCCCCACGCATCTCTCTCCAAATTGAGGGTACACGTCAGAAAGTGCCTGTGGCAAGACAGCCTGGCCCCTGGTTTACTGTGTTTCCCACCAGGCTCTGGCCACTATGGAAGTATCTTTGAACTCCATTTGATTGAGGCTTAGGAAATGAAAAGGAATAAAACACATGCTACCATTTCAGGACTCTGAAAAACACCTCACGAATTGTCCAACCACTTCTCTAAGACCTGGGTGTCTTTCCTGCTATGAATGATTCCCCTTCATGCCTTCTTCAGTTTGAAACAGAATGAAAGTATACCTGTCATTCGGATTTCTAGGCCACCCCTTTCTTTCCAGGCTCCTGGATTACAAAAAGGGTGCAACCCTGCCTTGCCCCTTCTAATCACAAAACCAGGAGGGTTTATGACACCGAGTTTAGCAGAACCTGACAAACTCTGCAAAACTTAAACACATGTGCTCTTCCTTTCCTAAGGGGGAGAATTTTGTACATGTCTTGCCTCAAGATAATGCCGTTTGCACATTTTCTTCTCAAACCTCTTCAAAGATATTAGCGTAATCACACTTATTAGTGGCTTATTATGTCATTATAGCCCCTGTGATCTATCATGTGAAGTTATGAAGTTCCCTGAAATATGAATACCTTGAGTAAAGAAGTAGGGAGATCAGTAGCTGGAGCCTCTTGGCCAGGGGAAGAGAACTGACTAAGTGTATCCAGTTATCAAATCTTCCCAGAAGAACACGTTGTGCCTTGTGGAAAGTCATCTTTCCTGTGCCTTTCGGATAGTGTTTCTCTTTTCTGGCTGTAACCTTGGATTTAGCCGTCCTTCTCTTGCTTCCCAGAGCTGCACCCACATAACGCCCAGGAGATCACCAACGTTCTTGCCTCCCGTTGCCCTTGAATCCCTGGCTGTTCCCTACTGTGTTCAGCTCTCTGCAGAGATGGCTCCTGCCCCACAGGGACAGCACTTAGCTCTGTGATGAGTACAGTCCTCTGCCCTGAGACAAAGCTGTTGTTTAAATCTGAGGCGTTTATCCCCTCTAACGTCCCTTTCTCTCTTGCGCGATGTCTGGCAGCTGACCTGGGACTCATCCTTTTTTGTCACTTGCTCCTCATGACCAGGATCGAGTCTGTTAACTCTTCAAATCTTCAATTTTATCGTCAGGAAAATGTGTCCCTTCTACCAACACTTAGTAATGATGAGGGGCCCAAGTTTCTTCACACAAATATTATTTTTCTCCCCTTGCATTGTCAATGGGTGTGCACTAGGAAGTTATTTAGATGTCCTAAGGCTAGTTCTTGTTGCTGTTTTCCACTCAGGCTTTTATACCTGCTGTTCTCTTATCCTACCTTTTGGGTTCATGGAAAAGCAAAAAGGACAGATATTTTCTTAAGACAATCTGCAGTCTGTTCATGGCAAGACTGGACAGTTTCATGATGGTAGCTCCAAGATAAAACTACTAGAATCATGGTGTTCCTTAGCAGAATGATCAAAATACTGTCTTAGAAGTAGGGATAGTTTACAAGGGAAATTTTATTCTTTTTTAGTTATTTTTCTCATTGCTGAGACAAAATACCTGATCCCCAAAGCTAAAGGAAGAAAGATTGTAATTGTCTCACAGTTTATAGAGGTTTCAGTTCTTAGGTAGCTGGCTCCAAGGCAGGGTGGCCTGACACAGGGGCACTGCAGAGCAAAAGCAGTTCATGGCAGGCTAAGGTAGAAAAGCAGCCAAGCACCAAGCACCAAGCAGTGAAAAGACAGCACTTTTTCTGTCTTACATTCTGTCGAGGGAGTGCTTCCCTATCAGCTACTCCCAGAACGATGCCAAAACAATCAGGGAACTAATTTTCTGATTACACACCAGCATCACATGCTTAATTCCAGCATTATACACTCTAGATCCATCCACTTCTGAAAAGCCCCACCTGTGGCCACACGAGGCTTTGGGAAAGACATCTAGACACAGCCCATAACACTTTTTGTTTCCTTTCTTATACCATTTCTCTAAGCTGCTTGTGAATGAAAGAATTTCTTCTTTCACATCTTGTCATATGGCACTTTGTTCCAATGAGGACCCAAGGAATTTTGCTAACATTAATTAGATCTTTATTCTATACAATAGTCATATTACTTATAAAAATCTCTGCTTATAGACAGGTGACAGCCTAATCTATCACAGGCGCTGGCACAGAAAGTCCAAAGGCATCACCTTTTAGAATGCAGTGTGAATGGGCCTGATCAATGGACCAGTTCATCTCTCTGGAGGGGCAAAGCTAGTGGTCTAGTCCAGTTGTTCCCGAAGGAAGTTCTTTGTACAGAAGTCACTGTCATTATATTAGGATTCTCTCTTATTTAGAAATGGTATTAGACATGTGTCCTAAGTCCACAATTTATAAAACTAACTAGCTCAGGAGAGATTTACTCTCTAAATACGTATTATTTACGTGCGGAACTTCATGGCTTAGATAATAGTGCAGGAGTACTCCCACTAGGAAGAGTGTGTTTTGGCCTTGGTGTCTGTGGATGAATGTCCTCACTGTTGAATGGAATCATTCCTGTGAGTAACCTTTAAATTCCCCCTGACAGAAGCACTCTGTCCCAGAATGATGCTAGCTTCCTTTGTGGCGTCCAACTTCTGCTTCTGCCAGTGGCCTAAGAATTGTTCCCTTGTGCAGCCCAGCTGTCCTCCAGCCATTTATCGCCTGTGTCCTCCCAAATCCAGGATAATTGGTGCTTTCGCTGCTTTGCTGATTTGTTGGTCCACAATTATGATTTATAAATAGCCCACAAGCAAAAATGCCAAACAATTTCAACTGCTTTGGACTGTGCTGAGTGGTGATTTTTAAATGGGATCAGGGTATTGACATGAGCTAAGAGAGATGATAGCAGCTTTAGGAAAGGAGACAGGAGTTTTCTTTAGCCTTTGATTGAAATTTTGCTTCCCTGTGAAGGTGAAGACAGTGAGCCAGGAAGATGGGAGGACATAAACCAGCAGAATTATAGTGCTAGCATTCCAGGCTCTGAATGTGAAATACCTTTGGAACTCTTATCTCATTGTCAAGGATGCTAAAACCTGAAAAATTTAAGCAATTTGCAAAAATCTTTTTTAAAACTAAACTCTACTATATATTTATGGTATATGATATCATGTCATGAGACATAAAAAAATACTATAAAAATTAACATATCCATTATCTCACATAGTTACATGTTTTTGTGGCAAAATCTGCTAAATCATGCCTTAAGTTTGTTATATTGTTTTGATTTGGGTAGTATTTAACATTTCAGAGGGCCTAAGATCAATTTTTAAATAAAGCATCAAGAAAGAATTCCACTTTTTTCTCTTACAGGTTTAACTCTTCTAGTTGATATTTATTTGCATACTAAGAATAATCTGAAAAGGATGAGTGTTTTCTCCAAATCAGTTTGAACAAAACTTGCTTTTCTTTCTCATCTACCAAGGACAGTGGTAGTCTTCAGATGGCTTCCTTTTGCTGGTTTTATATGCCAGGAAAAAGACAAAAACTTAGTCCCATCTTTCTTGCTGGGACTAATAGCCCTTAAGGAAACACCAGGATGGTAGCTGTGGGCTGAAGCAGGCATCTCCTATTCTGCAGGGTTTGTGCCCATCTGCTGCCTGGGGCTGTCTCAAATTGGCCGCATGAATCTTGGGACAGATGCCAGTACCTTCAAGTTTTATACCATGTGTGGCCTCCAAGAGGGCTTTGAGCCTTTTGCCGTCAACATGAACCGAGATGTTGCCATGTGGTTCAGCAAGCGCCTGCCGACATTCGTCAATGTGCCGGAGGATCATCCACACATAGAGGTAACGGTAAACACTGTGGGTGCCATGGCAGGGCAGGCACTGAGCTCCCTGTGATCCTTCTGTCGGCAGGCAGGTTGTCACCTACGTGCCTTTCCTGCAGCCATCCAGTACCTGCCCCTGGCTCTCAAAGCCATAGTTGCAGGCACTTTAATGAGGACAGCGTGGTGGAATCTTACAAGAGACCTTGCAGATTGGGTCTCAAGCCTTTGAGAGCCTGGATTTTCTCCGGACATCCTAACACTGATATTATTGTAGAATCACGGTATCTCTATATTTTAAGCATTGTTTTGTTTGAAAAGCCCAATATCTGTACTGAAGGTTGTATGTCCTGAACATAACGTGTTCCTAGATGCTCATAACTTAGTACCCTTTAGGCCTTGTTTAATTTCTGTGGTGCCATTTCCAACACTGAAATTCAGGTATGATAGTTGATTATGGTACTCCTACTTTTTTAGGGGAGGTGGAGTAGCCGAAAATTATAAAGAACATAATTTGGGTTCTGATTTTACATCTGTTTACCTCTGCTTTGCTCATGCCCACCACTGGTTTCTTGTGGTGAGTGTGGGGAGGAAAATGCTGATGGAAAGGCAGGCAGACCAGCTTCTTGCTGTGTTCCTGTGCCCAACTCTGTGCCGTGCTTTAACCCAACTCTCATGTTCCCTTAACTCACCCCCTTCTGGATTCAGGAAGCAATGGCTCTTGCCCTGAGCTGCCCTTCACAGTGTTAAATAACACAGGCCATTGTTTCTCTGGTTCTTCTCCAGCTGTTACCTTTGAATGGTGGCTCTTAAGCTTTGGGAAGTCTTGGAACATCTTTGACAAACTGATAGACCTAGATGCCTCCATTTACAAAAATATACAAAGCATACTCAATTACAGAAGCGCACTGTGAACTCAGAGTGAGAGTTGTTCCCTAGAGAGCAGAGGCTCAGTTTATGTTTTAAAAGTTATTTCTATTGTCTCAGTTCACTTCTGCCTCTCTCCCCAGCACACATTTCCTCCCCACCCTGCCAGCCGCAGTTCCCAGGACTGTGAGTTGCCAGCAGGATTTGAGGCAGGCTGTGAGAGCTTCAGCTCTCAGGCAGAATGAGTGGACTGCATAGCAGAGGATGCCCTCTGCAGAAGCGTGGGTGTCTGTACTTGAGCTTCAGAATTTCTGCTGCCCTCTCCTTTAGTTGTTCTTATACCCAGTGACAAGAGAAATCACTGGAAAGGTTTTCCTTTTAGCCACGTACCCTTTGGCGTACAAGGTAAGTTTTTATAGACACCATGCCACATCACCCACATACTGCCCTCTCTCTGGCTTTTGTTCTCCACACTTGACCTTGCAGAGAACCCTGTGGTTGTGTCTTAATCCTTAATTTCCCTAGCCAGCAACAAGTATGCTCCTTTTTATCAGATAGAGCCTCAGTGATGATGAGAACCATGGTTTGGTGTTCATCAGACCAGTGTTTACAGTGTGTAGAACACCCTGCTGTGTATTATTCTTGTCAGCAAGAGGAGGAGGACCAAGGTCACAGCAGGCCTTTTGGTATGTCAAGGTGAGGACTCATGGTGTTTCCAGGTCGCAAGGATCGATGGCACCATGGACAGCCCTCCATGCCTCAAGGTGACCCACAAGACGTTTGGTACCCAGAACAGCAATGCCAACATGATCTACTGCCGTCTGAGCATGCCTGTTGAGTGCTACTCCTCCTTCAGCCACAGTCCCTGTCTGGACAGCGATGCTTTCCAGAAAAGGTGAGGGTGAGGCCTGTGGCTCTCAGCTGCACATCGCATTTGCTCTAACATTGGCTTCTGCTCACTTTTTACTCCTCCTTGGCACAAGAAAAACTCAGCATGTGGGGTTCTCTCTGCTTTAGTCAGGTAAAGAATTACGTGTCTTGTGGGCACACAGGTACGTAGAAAGTTGTGTGTCCTGCACAATTAAAGGGACCAGGAAAGCTAACCAGAGTCGCATGCAGAAGTGTATCCACTTCTAGAGCTGTCTGGGTACCAGTCCGCTTGCTCCCACCTCCTATTTTAGAAATGAAAGGGACATACATTTTTGGAGGCACAAACTGCCTTTTTTCCATCCTGTGGACAATGTCCATTCCTGCAGTTCCACCATTCTTGAGTAATGTGACTTCTTCCTTCCCAATAAGTAATACATTATTTGTTATCTTTCCTTTGATGTCTGTTTTTATTCATTGATCTATGTCTGCCATCTGGAGCTATCTTGTTCAGGTCTCTTATAGTATTTCACTATCTACTAAACTTTAAACAAGCACAGCTATTTGAGAGAACAGAATAAACCATGCAAAGATGTCTCTACTGATGTTATTACAGCTTCCCCATCCTCATCTCCAGCTCTAACTTACCCTCTGTGCTAAGGGACAAAGTTAGAAGTCACAGCCCTACCTGGCAATTCCCAAGGCCAACTGCAATCACTTGTGCACATAAAGCAACCAGTTGCCTAAATTTGCCTTGATCATTAAAGGTATATCAAGTGCTTGTCAAAAGTGTGGGGTTCTTGGGTTGCCTCCAAGATTTAGCAACTACAAACTGTGCCATTATAAACATGGGTACACATATATGGCTGTGGTGTTTTTTCTTTTAATTCTTCTGGGAAGAGACCCAGAAGAGGAATAGCTGGATCAAATGGGACCACTAATCTTAGTTTTTTGAGGAATTTCCACACTAATTTTCACAAATGCCCATCAACTAATGAATGAATAAAAAAGATGTCGTTTTTATATGATGAAATACTACTCAGCCATAAAGAAAGATAAAATTGAGACATTTATATCTAACTGGATGGAGCCTGAGGCCATAATCATAAGTGAAATAAGTTGGATACACATGTATAAATACCACATTATCTCTCTAGTATGAGAAACTAAAAATGTAAATAAGAACGTAAATGTACAATAAATATTGTGAAGAAGAAAAAAAAACTCTCCAAAAGGAAAAGGGAAATGAGAGGGAGGGAAGAAGGAAGGAAAGGAAAGAAAAAAATGAGAAAAGCTTTGTGAATGGGGAGGGGAGGGAGTTTGAAGAGGGGACGGGAATGGGAAAAACAAAGAGGAATCAAGATACATTATGTACCCATACAAATTCCCTATAATGAATGTAGTCATTATGTATACCTAAATTGTACCAATAAACTTAAATTAAAAGAAGAAGTACAGAATTCTCTATACAACTGCATAAAGTAAAACATGGATTATCTTCCCTCCAGGAAACAGATGCAAGAAATACTCTCTCCTACAACAACAGTAAGTAAATATGCTCATTAGGGTTGTGATCATCTGATTCTTTGCTGTGCCTAGAATATGCCCCATATAGCAAAATCCTCTCTAATTGCCAGATACTCTATCTTTTAATATTCATCTTGATGCTTTGGAATGCACCTATGGTATTTCTCAAGTGCAAGGAAGAGAGAGACTTATCCAGTGCCAAGCAGAAGCTCTACCTGGGCCTAACTGGGCATCTCTCTGTGTTTCATATATGTATGCTACCAGGGACCCAACACTGACTTTCTGACTCAAAGCATCAGTTCAAGGAGGTCTCAGATTAATCCTTGTGTTTGCTCTTCTGTGTGAGCTTCCTGGTTTTCTCCCTCATGTGCCCCTGGGGTGCCAGAAATAATGCTGATGGCATTTAAATGAGCAGAAAAGACAGGAAACTCTCCCAGAAGGCCGAAGCTACTTGTGGTCCCTTTCCCATAGCTAGACGCTGGTCAGAAACCAATATTTCCTAATTTCTTCCTTTCTCTAACTCTCGTTTACCATTTGGGGAGAAAAGAATAGAGAAGAAGGAAAGGAAAAGCATGTGTATGGGGGAGATGCATGGCTCCCCTTCTGTGAAGTCAGCCTGTAGTCCTGAGTGCACAGGTGAAGCGTCATTAGGAGTAGGACCTGCTGCAGCAGGTCACTCACGATGGCTGGATTCTGTGTTGGGTACATTGCTTCACCTTCCCATGTAGTCTCCACTTATTGCACTTGAAAAGTAATCTGTAGCCTGTGAAATGGGTGATAGTGTGCACCATGTTATGCAGAGTGAAGACAAATGACTTGTCCAAGTTCACAGGAGAAATTACAGTGCCAAAACTCAAGCGTAGATTTTGTCTGGCTGACCTTTTGTTACTGCCAGCCAAGAAAATTTGACAGACTCCAAATAGGACTTACTTCATTAAGAATAAATGTACTCAGTGGTATAAAGAAAATGATGAAGCAGTCCCTGCCTCACCACAGTAGCTACTACTGTGACATAGTGATGCACCTCGCAAGCCATGTGGCCTTCCTCACCAGAACCACTGTCCCTCTCAACCTGCCTGTGGGTGAGTGAGACAGCCTTGCCAAGTGGGTTTAGCTACACCCTGAACTTTTCTCTCACAACATCTTTTTTATAGACAATACTGAGATTGAAACCAGGGCCTTGCACTGAGCTCTGGCCCCAGGCATTTAATTTTGAGACAGGGTCTCACTGAAGTACCCAGGATTGGCTCAAACTTGTGATCCTCCTGCCTTAACCTGTCAGACTCCTGGGGTTAAAGCATGTGCCACCCAGCTCAGCTTGCAGCCTCTTTTTTCATCAACAACAAAAACTGGCCCTGTCTGTGGAAGTGTAGAGTAGCAGGAGCTACTCTTGTCCCTCTGAGGATAGGGACTGCCTGCCCTGCTTCCAGCCCAGGTCTGCCTGGTACCTGGGAGTGGTTAGGGCCCTTTGCGCACCATTCTGGAGGTCACCATGAGTTACATCAACAGCATCGCCTACTCTCATCTCCAGCATCTTCCTGCCAACAAGGTGGTAAAATGTTTACTGTACTGGGTTTTAAAGCAAAGCAGGAAAGGGGAAAATTAGAAAGCCAGAGTCTCTGTCTCACCATCCCTGCAGGCTAAGAGTACACCTCACCTCTTCAATAGCGCATGCTTCTTCTTAAGATGGGGCTGTCAGGCTGCTGCATGTTCTCTGCCTCTCGAGTCCCCTCCCCGCCGGGAGCCACTCACTCTCATCTGTGCTCTGTGGTCTCTCCACAGCAATGCTACTATGCCATCCGCATCTTCGCAGGACAGGACCCCTCCTGCGTCTGGGTTGGATGGGTGACTCCAGACTATCACTTGTACAGTAAAAAGTTTGACCTGAATAAAAACTGTACAGTGACTGTCACCCTCGGGGACGAGAGAGGTCGGGTCCATGAAAGGTAAGAGGGGGTGCCCAGGAGGCAGGATCAGCCATCAGGCTCCTTGCTATCTCCTCCTTATCCCTCACAGTCTTCCCATTCCCCTCCAAACAAAGAAGAAAGCCTCTCAACCTCACTTAGAAGGAAAGGCTGAAATTTGGTCTCACAATTTTTGAGTACCCTAAAACAAGGGCTGGGGAGTTGGAGGGGTGTCTTACTATGAGGAATGTTAGTGAAAATTAAGGATAATTTCATCACACTTATAAATCATGGTGCAGGGATGGAAGATGGGAATGGACAACTGGATCTGAGATTTCTTTCAGTTTTTTCCCATGGTTTTCAGGCTAGCCTCAGGTTTCTCATCAGAACAAAACAGCAAAACTGTATTTTTGAGAACAGTCAGTTCAGAAGAAATAAAAAGATGCACCACATCAGACAGCCACTGACACACTCAGATCATCTCATCCCAAGAGTTTTTAATTGCTAAAAGCATAAAAAAATAAGGAAAATGTAGCACATAGGGAAGACATGCTTTAGGCAAACTTTGTATCCTCCCAGAACTCCACTGTTACTGCTTAGCCAGATGTGGCTCCTGAGCCATCTTAGCCAGATGTGGCCCAAGGCACTGTATGCAAAAATATACATCTCCCACTTACATGGGGTACAAGAGCATCCTTTCCTGTACAGCTGCATGTGAAGATGTAATAATTGCTTCTCAAGCTGGCCTTTCACCCTACAAGGTCAGGAGTATTTTGTACCTTTGTTCTTTAATTAGTACTGATTCATCAGAGGCTCATGGCCAGAGGCAAAGCAATAGTCACCATTCTGCAGGACCTGTGCTGGCAAGTGGTTAAGGACACAGGCCCTGAAAACAACAGATGTCCTCGCTAGATTTATAACTCTGTCCCAATTCTTACCAGAAGTGTGGCCTCAGATCATTTAATCTCCTTGGCTCTTTATTGCCTCGTCTAGAAAATGAGAATAATATTTCTGATCCCGTAAAATGTTGTGAGGGGTAAATGAGTGATTCATGCAAAAAATTCTAAAGACAGTGCCTCACTTCAAACACTAAGTACCATTATTACCACTGCCATTACTGACGTTCATCATGTTATGAAAATCAAAACAAGTGTGATAAAGTACAGTGTGAGCTGGAAAGTCTGTGAAAACAATCAGCCAATTCAAGTTTTGTTTCTGAGCAAGGAAAAAAGCCAGAAATATTTATCACCTTTCAGGTTATTGCTTCTATTTTCTGGCTCTGCCACACAAGACAAATGCTTGCTGTATCTGAGCCTCACTGACCACAGTTACTGTCTAAATATCTAACATACTGACACCTAGAGCAAGACCCAATGTATAGTAGTGTGCTCAGTAATTCCTAGTTCTTTGTCCTACATAATAAGCAATAAACACAGGATCGATTTTCTGATATTTCAGCGCATTTTTAATTTGGGCTTTTAAAAATACACCCAAAGCCTGCCACTTCACATCCCTATAGCCACAATGTATTATTAATTGAATTCTATGTGCATCATTGATCTATTTAGTAATTTAAACACTGAGAAGTAGTAGTAATATGGCTGTTGCTTGCCTTTATGGAAATCTAATGATGGCTGTAACTCTTTGGAAGAGGCAGTTTGCACTTGCCTCTGCCTGAGTACTGAAAAAAACCACATCAGTGCCCCAGAGGAAAGGAGACGTGTACAAACGTTTATTTGCAAAAGGGATTCTATGCTCATGGGAAAGTGATAGACTTCTAGAGCTGGATGAACCCTTGACAAATCCTAATCCAAACAATTAGACCCCGTCCAGAGAAGTAAAGAACCTGGATCTGTTCGTCACATGGAGCTACAAACTCTGCCCACAGCTAAGGACCTCAGCGGGAACCCCCCATGACATCTCTCTCCTTCAATCTGAGGGAAGTCACATCGTGTTTCATCAAGGGGCAGGGTCCCTCTGATGTTCAACCCAAGGATGGGCTTAGGAAATAGAGTTGGCTGTCTCTTATCACAGCCCACTCTGAGAGCTGAGGACTACCTTGGCCACTGAGCCTCTTCTCTAAAGCTCACCAAAGGCATGAAACCAACAGCTAAGGAATCAGACATTGGAGACGTAAAGGCTTTTTGGATATTATAGTTTGCTTTTAAGTGTAAAGGTCTATAATGGAGTTCAGTATTCTAGGAATTGGTAGATGGTTGGAAATAAAGGTACCTAAGTTGTTACTTATACAGGAATGGAGGAAGCTGACTTCCAAAGAACTGTAAAGTCAAGGTAAGACAGGTGTGGGTAGTGGGAGGGCATAAGAGACAGCATCCCTGGTCCCAGGCCTGCCATCCTAAGAAATATAAACCATTTCTCATATGTTGTGTAGCTTTGCCCTAAATACAAGACCGAGATGCTGACATCAGATTTGTGTGTCTGCTTCTTATACCTAATCCCTTTATAACTTTGCCCAAGGTAAACAGTCCCCCTCTCTGTACCTTAATTTCCCACTACTACCTTTCTCATCTGTTTCACAAAGGTGAGTGAGGAAAGTTATCTGAACATTTTTTTTGTAGGAGAAAGCCTGCTTTATAGCCACATCCTAAACAGAGTAGCTTATGCCCAAGTAAATTAAGATGAACCCAAACAAATTGATTTAAGAAAAATTAACTGGGGCTGGTCAGAAAGGTTCATAGAGAAGTTTGGTGGGCATTTCATTCTCGAGGCTTGAATACAAACCACCCAGTACAGATTCTGTGCCTTCTCTTCCGTACCTTTCTGGCCCCTAGTGTGAAACGCAGCAACTGCTACATGGTGTGGGGTGGAGACATTGTGGCTAGTTCTCAAAGATCAAGTCGAAGCAACGTGGACCTGGAGATCGGCTGCCTTGTGGATCTGGCAATGGGCATGTTGTCCTTCTCAGCTAATGGGAAAGAACTTGGAACCTGCTACCAGGTAGGGACAGCTGCTGGGGTAGAGACAATGGTGTCTAAGGCCTGCCACTTATGCCTGTGTTCCTTGCTCTTGTCAGTATCCCTCATATCTACCACAATGTTCTTAGTTGATAAAGTCATGTGGTACATGAGGGACTAAGGATAACAAATAAATAAAAGCAAACTGACTTTGTTGGTTGACCAGTTATGCTGACTATCTTTCTAGAGGAATAAAAGGCTTTTCTTCGTTGATGAGCCCTCAAAATTTATTTTTTAAGCATTTCTCTGCCATCTTTATGTTACCTATACTATACAAAAGGTAAAATTTAAGAGGTAAACAGAAATACTTTTCACTTTAAGAAATTGAAGCCTATAGAAACTATTAAGTTGCTATGTATTCCCTTTGCAAAAAGGTTACTCATATTTCCTTTGGATACTTTCAGAGGTGATGGTTTACAACCTGTTAGGAACCAGTCTGCATAGCAGGAGGTGAGCTGTGGGAAAATGCAAAGCTTTGTATGTATTCACAGCTGCTCCCCATTGCTCACATCACTGCCTGAGCTCCACCTGCTGTCAGATCAACAGCACCCTTAGATTCTCATAGGAGTGGTACCCTACTGTGAACTGTATGTATGAGGGATCTAGGTATGCACTCCTTATGAAAATCTCATGTAATAATAATAGAAATAAAGTATACAATGTAATACTAATAAAAATAAAGTGCACAGAAAATGTAATGGATTTTAATCATCCCAAAAGTACCACTACCATCCCTGTTCATGGGAAAAATTGTCTTCCACAAAACCAATGCCTGTGGCAGAAAGTTTAGGAATACTGCCTTATCTGATTCTTCTGAAAATGTATTTATGCAAATAATGTGTTTCCCTGTTTCATGAACTGTGAACTCCAAGGAAATACTCAGGAAGCCCCTCAGGTATACAAATATAAGTTTACATGTGATTAATCCTGAAATCCTGATTTCTTCATTCTTGATGGCCAAATACGCCTGGGAAAATCCTTCTCTTGAAGTTTTGCTGTGAATGTCAGCACAATAGAAACTTAGAGACATACTTCAGAAAGAAATCTGTTTAAACAAGCATTCCTAAAGTTATTTCACCAAGAAAAAGATTTTGTTAAAATAATAGTAAATATTCTATGAACCTAGAGTTCTACAGAATATATCATGGAAAATTCTAGGTTGTGAAATTAAATTTATATGTTAAACATTTTCACCATTCCAAGGACAGAACAAAAAGTCACATGTAGTGTGGACAGAAAGTATCACACAAGGGAAAAAGATTTCACCCATTGAGAACATTCAGGAACCCATTGAGAACATTCATTAAGGAGAAATCTTGACTGTGGAATAGAGAGAGGCATGGCCTTGATTGAAAAAATGTCACAAGAAGCATCACAGAGGTAGGGAACAATACGGTGTGTCTGAGGATCACTGGACAGAGTGACTTGAAGCTTTTATGATTAGTGGTGAGAAATTCATTTGGAAAAGTAAGTTTAGGGGGCTGGGGATTTAGCTCAGAGGCATAAGTACCTGCCTTGCAAGCAGGCAGTCGTGAGTTCGATCCCCAGTACCTATAAAAAAGAAAAAGACAAAAAAAAAAAAAGTAAGTTTAGATAGAAAGTAGGGAGCTACCGAAGGCTTCTGAGCAGGACAGTGACATGCGGTATTTAAGAAAGTGAAGTCAGCAGTCTTCCAGGGTCACCATGGTTATTACACAATGGATGAAAGCCCTGTTTTCTCAGTCAGCCCTAGACCATAGCCTCTGGACTAAAAAGCTTCTTAGCTCCCAGCTATCTGGTCTGTGGTTGGAGAGATTGGATCAGATAGAGAACAGTCAGAGCAGCATCCCAAACCTGAAAGGTTCATTGACTGAGAAAGGATAGACCAAACTCTTGCTGGGGGTCAAGGGCAGCACACTGGCACAAAGGCAGCTACCTTATCTCGGCAGTGTCTCCTACATTGCACAACTCTCTCTGTACCTGAAATCCTGTGGGAAACAATTGAATCGACTCTTGGCAAGCTGGGGCCAACCAGCCATTTCCAGAAAGAGGCATTTGTGAAGCCAAGCTTTGAGGAAGCAGGGATTCTAGTGGTTTGCATAGTTCTACCTCTCCCAGCTCCAAATCCTCTGAGAAAGTGTCTTATATACATTGCCATCATCCTTCAGAATCCATTAGCTTTCTCCCATTAACTTTTGAAATGAGTTGAACTCAAGGGTCCTCCCTCAGCTGCAGAAAACTGAGAGTTTCTAATCACTTTTAAAGCGAGTTAGATTTCAGAGGTCCACAAATATTAATGAATTAAAAACAACAATAAAAAGATGGCATTTACAAGCAGCAATGGCTCATCTGCCTCAAGGAACAACCAAGGATGTTGAGAAGTGACATTGGGACAGCTTCATTCCATCTTATCACAGTGGTTCCTGGGTGACATTAGGCTGGACAGTTGTCCTCGCTGAGCTGAGTGTCAGCACTTCTCCTCGACTGACCTTCTTTACTACATGCACATAAATACTGCTCACTCTGCCCAGTGGCTCCGGTTTTGCTGCCTGCTCAAAGCAGTGCTATGAGGAGTAGCAGAGGATCAGGCTCCATTCAGAGCCTCAGGAAAGCCACACCCGGCCAGCCCCTTCCACAGCCAGCAAGATAGTACCATGTTCTGCCATATGTCTGTCCCCGGCAGTCAGATCTTTGTTATTCTGCAGCTGTAGTCATTTTGATTTTTCAATTATCTCAAGAGGAGCTGGCTAGCAATATTTACACACTGGCTTTCAATTCAGAAAGGAAAAGTCACAAAATAATGAGAATTCTCTCAAACAGTGTTTCTAGACCTCCCCATTAAATAGTGCTATGCAATTTGGAAAGCTTTTTCTGTCCCACCTAATGCAATCAGTGGAGAAATGAGAACTAGAATGTATGTTCAAGAAATACTCCCCAGTGATTGCCGTGCCAGCTCCCACCCCTGACAGAGGACAGAATCAGCCGGAAGATTCATATTTACACGACAGTGTAGCTTTTGAATCTGCCCAGGTCCTGTACCCTGACCTTCATGCATGATTAGATACAGAATGTCTGTTAACACAAGGACAAAACAGATCAGCTGGTGATAAAAGGAGACTTAACTATGAAAGGACAAGACTATATGAAGTGTGGTGGCAGCTCTGAGTCCAGGCTCGCTGCTCCTTCCATCAGAATGGACACCCCTACCCCAGTAGGTGCAGTCCCGCAGGTAGAAGCTGTTCACTGTGTCTCAAGCAGCACCTGGCCCCTAGTGAGCGCTTGCTAGGATCTGTTGTTGGACAAACTGACTTGGCTGGGAAACCACTTGTATGCACTTTTTTATTGCTGTCTGATAAGTTGCCATAAAATTAGCAGCTTAAAACAACCTGTGCTTATTATTTCACAGTTCTGCAGTCTTGCCTGAGCCCTCAGGTTCTCATAAGGCCAAAATCAAGGTGTCTGGTAGGCTGTTCCAGGCTCCTCTTCCTTGTGGGCTCTGGGAAGAATCTATTTCTGAGCTTGTTGGAGGTGTTGGCAGTACCCAGCTATTGCCTGTGTCTCTCATGTTCTGAGGTCCTGTGTCCTTACAAGCCAGGCCATTTTCCGCCTTAAATTCACTATTTAATAGCTTTATTCACATCAGCAGTACCTCTTTGGCCAAGTAACATAACATCACGCACAAGAAACCCCAGTGATCCTGAGAAACTTCTAGAATTGTGTGTCCTATACCAGCAATATTGTATTGGTTTTATCCTCATGTTCACCCTCCTGAGTCTACATTCATATTTTCTTATTTTTGTTACTGAAGAGAAATTGCACTGTTCCTTGTGGTAGATGTGTGCTTTGTATGTTAGAAATAAGTTTATCCAGGACATCCTACATGCTTTCAAACGTCCTTCAGGGATTTGGCTGAGAAGTTTAGGAAGTTTTCAGGAACCAATGCTAAAGAGCCTGAGAAGATTCTATTCATTTAGCCGATAGCTGCTAAGTTGGTGTGATTCAGGTCAGCATAAAAAGCCTTCTAGTGAGTTCATTTCTCTTGCCTCATTAGCACAGATTCATGGGTTACCTTCTGGTCCAGATGAAGTCTTGTCAGCCACCAGAGCTCTGAAGGTTATAATGACTTGAGGGTACAAAGTTATTCTGAATATTACACTTTGGGTATTTGAAAAATCTAGAGGCCAGCCCAGAGACAACCCAGAAGAGCATCATATGACAGTTTCCTATTTAGATCCTTGACTACTGTAAACTCAGGGCCTGCCAAAAGCAGATACATAATTGATACTAAACCATTTGGTCAGTGTCCTTCACTAGGCTTATTGCAGACACAGAGTTTTAGAAATTCACCTTTATACTTTGGCTTTATAGGCATCTATCTCTTCATTCCACCTAGAAGTACTGAAATATGAGTTATAAACCAAGCAAGAGCACCTGAAGTGTTAGTCTATCATCCTGTAACAAAAATGATACTTCCAAGCCGAAGTCATTAAACCTCAGTTTAATGACTCTAACCTATTTTGTCATGAACAAATGATAGCATGAAACTATGTAAAATCTTGTAATGTCACAGCAACAACATTTGATTTCATCAATCTTATTTCTAAATATATTGAAGAAGATCATTATTTAGATGGAGCCTGTACCAAATACTCACTGCTTTCATACCCAGTGGATGCACTTTCCATTGCCACATTAAAAATGATCACAGACTTAGTGGCTTAAAATAACATGCACTTATTGACTTATAGTTTCCGTGGCCTTTTACAATTTAGCTTAGTCCTCTGCTTGGGTCATGCAAGGATACAGTCCAGCTGTCAGCCAGGCTGCAATGTTCAGAGTCCTCTTCCATGTGGCTGTTTGCAGAATCCAGGTGCCTGCATTTGTAGAACTGGGATCCCATTTTCATGCTGGCCACAGCTGGAGTCCATTTTGAGTCCCTTTGGAATTCTTTTGTATGTGACCCTCTTGTGGGCCTGCTTTCTACGGCCAGCTTATATCTCTACAGCCAGCTGGAGCTCTCCCCGCTTTGCTGATGTGCACTGTTATACAACATAACTTAATCTTGGAAGTGATTATCCTCACACTTTTACCACATTTATGTGCTAGAAACAAACAGATTCTACTGGAGATTGTACAATTAAGTCCTGTTAACATTTGTTCAACACATCTGCCATTTGTAGGCAAGGAGAACAGCGGGAATTTCTCAGTGTCTTTATTTGCTTAAAAGCAAAAGGCTTCAGGTGTAGAAATAAAATCTCAATATGAGAGTAGAATTCATATCTTCATGGTCCTCCCTGATATTAGAAACACATAGAATTGATCTGCTGTGAGTTTTCTCCTACAGCAACAAGTGAGCAAATGATAGCAGCCCTGATGCCATCAGTAAACCCACGTGCATCATCTTAGATGAAGCTAAAAGAAAATGAGTGACTATCAAGCCCTTTAACATAAAAGCTAAAACTGAAAGGAGAAAAGAGTGAAGAAAAGCACCAAGGAACTCAGAGGGTTGAGGGATGGATGCGCTCTGCAGAAAGCGTTCCACGTTATTACAGTGAAACAGCTCCTGGGTTGTGATGTGGAGCAGCAGTCCTCAACTGGGAATGCTTCTTCCCCAACTGGGCAAGTGGCAGTGTCAGGAGACCATATTGGTTGTCACGACTGTGGGAGGGTAGAGAAGTGCTACAAACAGGTATTAAGGAGAGGGTGATGATGGGTCAGGTCTCTCAATAAAAAGTCACCTGGCCCAAAATGTCAGGAGTACCGAGGTTAAGAACCCTGCCCTTGAGTGTCCCTGGCCGAGTCATCATCTCCTCTGGGCAGGCCTGGTAAGTGATGGTGTTTCCAGTTGCCAGGTGTCTCTGCTGGGAATACTGAGCACATCACGCTGTTGAGCAGTCAGCAACAGGCCTTGCCTCTGGTGACAAGTGAGTAGCTCTTAACCTTGGACTGTCCCGCTGCTGCAGGTTGTAGCTACTGAGAAAGGAAGCGGAAGGATATTTGATTGTTTAGTCCAAATAGAGAGTGTTTAAAGTTGGGAGCACATTGAAAGACCACATTTCTGAGCAGCCAGCTAGCTGTCCTCTTGTGGCTCAGAGTAAAATGAGAGTATTGACTAAAATACCCCACAGCTTAACAAACTGTGATTTTATTGCTCTGGGAAAATGTCTCAATTTGTTTTGCTTCCCAGGTGGAACCCAACACCAAAGTGTTTCCAGCTGTCTTCTTGCAGCCTACAAGCACTTCTCTGTTTCAGTTTGAACTTGGGAAGCTAAAGGTACCTACCTGTCCCCTCATCTAACAAGAAAAGGTAGCACTGACCATTGAGGGGTGAATTTCGGGTCTCAGAAGACAGGGAAATCTCTCACTTCTCACCGTCTCTCTGTCTTTTCCCCCAGTCTGTACAGGTTCCTGTGAAATTCAGATAACAAATCATGTGTTCTCCTTTTCTCCTCCCCCAACCTCTGATAGGTGCTGGAAAAAACCAATCCTCATAAAACCCATTGTGCAAGGCCCTAATGCTAGCAAGGCCATTAATATGTCTCCCTTTAGTTTATGATAATCATATTGATAATCATGGGCCAGGTGCATGATCCCACCACCTGGACTGTATGTATTTGCACATCTGTTTTCTTCTCAAATGCTTTTTCACCTTGTCCCAGAATGCAATGCCTTTGTCTGCGGCCATATTTAAGAGTGAGGAGAAAAACCCAGTCCCCCAGTGTCCTCCTCGGCTGGACGTCCAAACCATCCAGCCGGTGCTCTGGAGCCGCATGCCCAACAGCTTCCTGAAGGTGGAGATAGAGCGGGTAAGCGAGCGCCACGGCTGGGCAGTCCAGTGCCTGGAGCCCCTGCAAATGATGGCGCTGCACATCCCAGAGGAGAACAGGTACTGCCCAGACCCGCAGAGGAAGGGGAAGGTGAGGGAGGCAGGGAGGTGGAGCCGGGCAAGCCCAGAAGAGAGCTGGGCGCATCTCATTGGACCCTGCTCAGTCCCAAGATGATTGTTGATTTCCCCAGCATTTCAGTGTCCATTCTTCCCCTTTCTCATTTCTGTTACTTAGAAACTTCAGGGGATACTCCATGATGCGCCTGCTGTGAGGCCTTCATTGTAGCTCCTAGGGCTTGAGATCAAGAAACACTTCATTGAAAACTTAGTGACCCTGAAATATACATTATAGGTGATAAAGAGAGAAACAGTGAGACATGCCTGGCTTAACTAACAGAACCAGGAATCAGGCTCCTGGTGTCCCTTAGTTAAGAGGGATCTTATATGATAGCCTGGGTTCAATCCCAGCACCAACACTTTGTGACTGCATGCCGGTGGGTAAACTGCCCTCCAAACCTCTCTCCTCCAAACCTGTCCTCTGCCACACTGTAAGAAAGGCCCTCCCGAGGTGTTGCTGGGAGAAGATAAAATGAGATTGTATAGAGAAAATCTGGTACAGTTTCTGGACATAATGAAGATTAACTAAATTTTATTATTGTGGATATGCTTATTCCTTGAGTTCTTTACTAAAGAGTAGAATGATGTGGAAAGAGCCAGTGTGTGCCACCCCACAGCTGCCACTTAAATCTCCCCTCAGACCAAGGGCAGTAGGGCAAGCAAGTGCAGGGAAGGGCAGGTCACCAGGTCCAGAATGAGGACTAAGGGGAAGAGTCTATGCAGACCTCAAAGCCTGAGCCTGGCACCCACACTAACAAGCAAGCCACACACAGGCAAATAAACCTCTCAGTCTGGAAGGAAGAAGGAAGCAGGATTTTCTAGCTTCTCTGAATTAAGTGGTGTTCATATGTTGAACATTTTCAGACATCATTTTTCTGCACGTATTGTGGGTTTTGCTCTTGTGTATACATGGTATATATAATGAGCAAAGAAGTCCAAATTTTACAATACTTAGCCCCTAAGTATTGGAGATTGCCAGTGTATAACACAGTTATTAGTAAAGTTAGCACATTTTGTACACTTTGTGTTGAAGTTCATGGAAAAGCTTGCACTCTGTAATTGAAGTTTGGATTTGGCCATCTCTAAGCATTACATATGCTTTTTTTTTTTTTTTTTTTGTCCACTGGCTGGAAGGCCAGAGAGAAAGAAGTAAAAAAGGGTTCAAGGACAAAATGATCATATACAAAAGAGACCTCAGATTATAACCATTGCTGCATATGCAGTTGTATGCTAGTGCTGTATGCATAATGGACAAGTTTTATATAAAATCTAATTCTACATATTTATCCATGCTGGTCATATGTAAAAGTAAATGTTACCAAAAACAAAAACAAGAGTAAAAGTAGTAGAATAATACTTTTTGTAAAAGCTTTTAAAACCTGATGAGAAATACTGTGTTTGGAAATAGAATCATCAAACCACTTCTGGAGGAAAAAAGTGTGGTAGGTTTTTTCCCCAGTGACAGTCAGGATGACACAGATGATATTGGTGGTAGACTGACAGAAGCCTCGGCTATGTCTTATGAGCATCAGGAAAATGGAGGATTCACTTGACTTACACATAAGACCAAGTCACCTGCTCTAAATGTTTTTCTTTTGGGGAGCTTTGGAATTTTTGTAATTGAAAGAGCTTTCGGATTTAGTAAGCCAGTAAATTTTAAGTTTCTAAGCTTTTGACAGCCCTGTAGTTAGATGTGGTAGATTATCAGGAGCTAGAAAGTGGAGCAGAGGCGAGAGTGATGACCCATTAAAGAGAGTGTGGCAGAGATTCCCGCATCTTTTTACCCCTTCTGGTTTTGCTAGGCAGGTTGAAATCCTGGGGATGCAGAAAACAAGGCTAGGCTGGATTCTGGTGCCTTCTCCTCCTATTTTGTGATTCACTGCTTGTGCATCCTCAGATGTGTGGACATCCTGGAGCTCTGTGAGCAGGAAGACCTGATGCGATTCCACTATCACACACTGAGGCTGTACAGCGCCGTGTGTGCCCTGGGAAACAGTCGCGTTGCCTATGCTCTGTGCAGCCACGTGGATCTCTCTCAGCTCTTCTATGCCATTGACAACAAGTATCTCCCAGGCCTCCTGCGGTCTGGTTTCTTTGACCTGCTCATCAGCATCCACTTAGCCAATGCTAAGGAGAGGAAGCTGATGATGAAGAATGAGTACATCATCCCCATCAACAGCACCACCAGGAATATCTGCTTATACCCAGATGAGTCCAAAAGGCATGGGCTGCCTGGAGTGGGTCTGAGAACGTGTCTGAAGCCAGGCTTCAGGTTCTCTACCCCGTGCTTCGTCGTGACCAGTGAGGAGCACCAGAAACAGAGCCCTGAGATCCCCTTGGAGATTCTCAAGACGAAGGCACTGAGCATGCTGACTGAAGCAGTGCACTGTAGTGGGGCCCACATCCGAGACCCTGTTGGGGGATCCATCGAGTTCCAGTTCGTGCCTGTACTGAAGCTCATTGGAACCCTGCTGGTCATAGGCGTTTTTGATGATGATGACGTTCGCCAGATCCTGCTCCTGATTGATCCCTCTGTGTTTGGGGAGCATGGAGGGGAGACAGAAGAGGGAGCAGAGAAGGAGGAAGTGACCCAAGTGGAGGAAAAGGCAGTGGAGGCTGGGGAAAAAGCCAGCAAGGAGGCTCCGGTCAAAGGCTTGCTGCAGACCCGACTACCTGAGTCTGTCAAGCTGCAGGTAACTCCTAGCAGGAAAGCTCATTCCCTGGGAAAGGGCCAGAAGCAAGAAGGGCACACCGAGTAGCCAAGAGGGGCTATGGGCACGGCTCCTGACTGCAGCTGAAAGAGCACAGGAGGAGCGCTCATGGCTGATGCTCGTTTCTGACATGGAATGTTCCCCTAGCCAAAGAGAGCAACCCTTTGCAATAAGACATATGCTTCTGAAATGCTCTCCAGTGATAGGTCTGTCCCTATTTCTTAACCTTTAGTGCTCCAAGGCCTACTTATAAGCCATGTGTCTAGAAAGAAGGAGACGCCTTTGACTGTGGAGGAATCCAAGGCACTGCCTTGTATGGCAAATGTACTCCCATCTGCTCTCATCAGGTGCCACCTTCACGCAGCCACACTGACACAGCCCTGTTAGCCCAGCATTGGTGTAACTGCCACTCGAGCTACAGAGGACAGCCATACTTTTGGAGGCATCCTCAGCACGATGCAGGAATGTTCAATACTACTGAAAACACAGTTTTCCCAGAAATCAGCTAATCTCAGTGATAGGCCAAGGACAGTTTTTAAAATGGGCACAGGGAAAAGAGAAAGATGAATAGAAGATCTATCCCAGTACCTCGGTCAACCATTCATAGGAATCCTGGGATTCAGACTCTGCCCCCCTGGCTGCTTACTGGCTCTGTGAACCGGCCAGATTAACAACCAGCTAGACCCTTAGCTTTATTATTTGTAAAATGTGGATGATATAAAATATTAAAATATATTTCATGCAGTAGAATATGAAATAAATTTTATCATAAAATTTGGGGAAGTAATCTACAGTAAAGCTCTCTTACCTAATGAGATAAGATTTGTGGGTGGTCAGTTAATTGAAACATTGAATACAGTAGAGAAATAAAAATTTTTATACATACGTGCCCTAGGTACTTTATTGAAACATATAAATACCCTACTACTCTGATGTAGGGCCAAGACTTTCATTTAGCATAAGTCCCTTGATTGGCAAATGAAGTTCTTTTTGCATCCATGACGACTGGAAAACAGTATCTGTGATCAGGAGTTTTTAAAGTAAGTTCCATTTTGAGGCACAGGCACATGCTCCATAATGACATTTCGGGGAACAGTGGACCCTAGATGGTGGTGGACCACGTTAGTTTATGTGAAAACACTGTTATGCTCCCAGGAAGCTCACTCTGATGGACTTCTAAGGGTGTATTCCTGTCATTAAGTGAAGCACATAATTGGAAAACAGCCTGAATGGAAAACTCCCCGAGGTGTTTTATTCCCCACAACTTCTCATAGTTATCTGACACCCAGTTTTAGTATCTTTTAAAATAGCAACTTTAAAAGTTTTAAAGTTCTTTTTGCAGTGTTAATAATAATAATAGTATTAGTGATACTACCAAAGAACTAATCACAAAGAGTGCAGATCAGTGACAACTGTGAAAGCCAAGAGGACAGGAGACGTCCCAGTTTTCCATCCTCCAGGACTGGACGGCATCAGAAAGGCAGGCAGCTGTCCTCAGCTCATTGAAAATGTTTCTTGGAAACACTGTTCTTTCTCTCTGCAAACAGATAGACTTTGCTCTGGGGAGCCCTTTCTGTCTTATTCCCCTGGCCTAATGGTGAATAGCTGGTATCTGAGTTCAGGCTGACTCGGATTCAAGTGATAGCTTTGTGGTTACTTACCATGTGACAGCAGACAAATTTTTTCAGTTGTGTAAGTGTTGGTATCATAATCTTTAAAATGGGGTCACTGGAAGGTTCACCAGTATGCATAAAGTGATACTAAGTAGCATGTATACATACATACGTTTTTGCAGATGTGTGAGCTCCTCAGCTATCTGTGTGACTGTGAGCTGCAGCACCGAGTGGAGGCCATCGTGGCATTTGGTGACATTTATGTCTCCAAGCTGCAGGCAAATCAGAAGTTCCGCTACAATGAGCTCATGCAGGCTCTGAACATGTCTGCAGCCCTCACTGCCCGGAAGACCAGGGAGTTCCGCTCACCCCCACAGGAGCAGGTGAGAGCCCCTTCCCATTCTGCCTTCCTGTTTTCATGGAAGTACTTAAAACCCACAGAGCAGGCCCATGTTATCTTCGTGGTGTCTAGGGCAGCAGCAAGAGCTGAGAAGACTGTAAGACCCATCATGGCACAAGGAGACAGCCCTTGCCTGTGGAGATGAGAACAGAGAAGTATGTACCAGTTATCTTGGTTAGGAGAAGAACCCTTGCTAAGCCACACATAGGACAAGGCTTTCTCCTCCCCTTCCCTTGTCATACCTACACCTTCTTGAGTGAGCTTAAAAACCAGCCCACCTATCACCTCAGAAAGACTCCACACTCCGAAGAATTTCTGCCATCCCTCCCAGAAGTCACCACCTCCCTATGAAAGACCCACAAAATATGGTCAGGAGGCCCTGATGTAAGAGTTGGTACATAGTCCTCCTCATGCAGTGTGTCCAGTCCACTCACCCATTAGCCATGGCTCTCTAACAAAGCCATGCCGGCCCATGTAATCTGGAGAGTGGGACTCAACCAATGAAGTATGCTTTTCAGTGTGTTGTATTAATTCTTTGCATCACTCCACCTATAGCTAGCCTTACCCAGGTGAGAAGGGTTCTTTGAGAATAGTCAAAATTCTGGTGAGAAACTTCCAGATGAGGGAGACACATCTTTAAGAAGAATAACTTCCATGCATCCTACTTCTCAGCAGTGCTCTTATGCCCTGCAGGCTGGCTGGCCTCTGCTCTTGAAGTGTCAAACGAAAAGGTAGATATTTCAATAAAGAAGTTAGTTTTGTCTCTGAAACAAGATTTTTTTTATCCAATTACTTTCCTAACCTATTTTATAGAACATATGTATTTATACTGGCTTAAAAATGAACCATATATGGGGCTTTTAAAAGATGCACTTGAATGATACTGGCCTTGCTAAAGAGAAGGCAAAGCTCATTACCCTCTCCTGGATGCAAAATGAAAAGATCCTTTAAATTTATTGGAACAGATTGCTATGCCATTTCCCCAGTCACTCCCGAGAATTATTCTTGAAGATTTTACAGATGCAACAATCTGCTTTTAGGCTGGCAACAGGCATGGATGTTTCTCATGTTACGAGGCAAATGCTGGCTCTTTCATAGGTTTAGGAATCATGAGAAGGGGAATAACAGGGCGATTGCATCCCAGTATTGACCTCAGACCCCAGTCTTCCCTTGCCTTGTGGTCTTGAACACATGACTTCTCTGTGTCCTGTTTTTTCAGTTCAATATATAGGTTATGTCTAAATCTCCCTCCCAGGGCTCTTGTGAGGACTCATGAGATAATTTATTTAGATTACTTACAATGATGCCTGCCATAGTATAAGCTCCCTGTATGTACTACCTGCACTACTATAAATATAATGTTCAAAGTATTGGCATCTGCTTCATGGCTTGCTGGGTGACCTTTGGTCAGAGGCCAGTGAGTGGAGTCCACACATTTTTCTGGCATCTCTTTATCCCAGCCAGTGCCAGGGTTACACATCCAACCCTGTACTCAGGGGCTAGCTCCCCACAGGACCCCATTCTGCTTCCAGACCTGTTCTCTACCCTCTTCAGGTCCCTGTCACCTCCTCTCTTAGGTATCTATCCATCCTCTGACACACCACTATGGAAGTTATGGCAGTCCATGACTCAAGCTCTTCCCTAGTGTATTAGACTGTTGATTCTTGAGTCTAATCACTTGAAGAGCTTAATTAATAAAACAAAGTCCCTAATTTAACAGTCTAAAGTGAAGATCGGGAATTTGCATTTTTAGCAAGTTTTCTGGTAATGCTGATACTGCTGGTCTAAGAATAAAATGAAAGAAAGGACACTCAGCTGCCCCATCTGCCACCCCTCCCAGAGGATTTGCTTCTAGAGGGAGCCAATCCATACAGTTCTCAGTGTAAGAAAGCATTTCACATTTTGAAAGACATGGAAAATTTAGACCAGTTTCAAAGGTCAACAATGCAGAATCACTTATGAAATAGTATGTCTGAAAATTTGAGTTTTTCAGTGTAAATTTTTAAGAAAACATTTTATTAGTAGTATATATTTGCTATACATAATCACATTCATTTGGGGGAATTGGTTCATATGCATACCATATCTGATTCATTTTTAGTACCTCTTCCTTGCCCTCTGCCCCCTGTCTCCTCTTTCCCCATATATTTTCCCATCCGTAGTCAGCTAGCTTCACTTCCAAAGGGCTTCATTAAAAGATGGTAGCTATAGCAGAAAGTTCTGCTCAGTTCATCTCTCTGTCCTTCACTTTGATACCCTGCAGGCAGGGAGGCTGCTGCTTTTGGAGTATTTCACCAAAGGAAAGACCTATCAGCAAAGAAATTAGCTCTGTGACTGTGAAATCAATTTTTTTTTTTTTGTATTGGAGACCAAACTTATGACCCCATGCTTGCCAGGCAGGCGCTTGTGCCACTGAGCCAAACCCTGGCCCCCAGATTTTAGTATCTTACATTTACCTAAAAAACAACTTATATGTTATCGATTTAATTATCATCATTTAACAACCTGAGAAAATCACAAAAATGACTTGCCAACCTATTTTAGAGATATTATTTTACTACAAAACCTCTACCCACTTCTGAAAAATGATTGCAGTAGAAGCTTTGAACAAGATTCTTCCTAGTAATATTAAGTAGAACTCATAGTTTAATAAGAGATTGAAGATTTTAACAGAGGGATTATCACAGCTGAAAAAGCAAAAGGGTGTTGGATTATAGTTGAAAAAACAAAAGGGACAAGATTGCCTCTACTTAACTTCTGAAGTCCCTCCAGGTGGTCACCAACGTAGGGTCGTTGGCCTTTGTAGAAAGAATTCTGACATCTAGGAAGCTGGGTGAGAAATAAATAGCAGTTTAACTTTCACTAAAATGTAGAAACCTGTTGCTGTAGTCATTTTGCTCATTTTCTTTATCTCAAGAAAATGATCAGCTATATGATCAAAAATTATAGGAAAGGAAGTTCAGAAAAAACTTAGCTATAAGGACACAAAATGTAAATAATTAATATATGACAGAATTGATAATATATAAATCATTATCCTTAGAATAAAATGTAACACACCAATTAAAAATCAGGTCAAGAAAATGGTCAAGGTAAAACAAATAGAAAAATGCAGGTTTAAAAAAAAATATAACTAGAGTGTGTTCCTAATGTATGTGGATAAACAGAAGGTATGGAAGATACTAACTACAATACTAACAGTGGTTATCTTTGGCTGATGGGATCATAGCAAATTTTCTTCTTTGATATTCTCCACATTTTGCATAATTAATAACTTGAAAAAATAAAAAATGTGAAAGCTATTTTTAAATATAGGCCACTTTTCTCTAAAAAGCTAGTTAAATAAAATTTTGCAAAGAATGTTAGGCGTAGGTCTAAGACACAAATTGCATTCCCTTGACTGCCATTGAGAACCAAGAAGCCATTCTTCTTTTGCCCTCAAAGATCAACATGCTTCTCAACTTTCAACTGGGAGAGAACTGCCCCTGCCCAGAGGAGATCCGAGAGGAGCTGTACGACTTCCATGAGGACCTGCTCCTTCACTGCGGTGAGCTGTTAAGAGATAAGCGTGGGCCACAGAGTCTGTTCCCTATTCCTCCTTTGGGAAGACAGTGGAAGGGTTTGGGAAGTGATCCTTGCACTGGACATTACAGTGCTCCAATCATTGTTTGAGATGTGACTCTACCCTAAGAGTCAGAGAAGATGTGGGAAATAAGCCTGGAAGAAAATGTGGCTGAAATTCCTTCTACATAGAAGAAGCTTGGTGGAGACAGAGGGGACAGGTCCCTGGAGAAGGAAGGAAAAGAGGTGATCTTTCTGTACACCCAGTCTATTTAAAGTGATTTGGTGGAAACTTTCGCCTACCACATGTTAGGTCTTACAGAGTTTATGGAGACGGAAGAGTGACTTCTGTCCTTATGGATTCCAAGACAGTAACCCCACTGTGATCTATAGCTGCTGGCTTATATCTGATGATATATATATATGTATACCTTGTGGATTGAGTAATACATGAGAAGTAGCTGAGATTTACATTTAAGGTAGCACAATGTTAAACTCTAGGTATTCTAGAACCCTTTTTGAATAGAAAGAAAACAAAGTTCAAGGATTATAATTACTGATACACAGGAAATCATGTTTTCTTTAAAATAAAAACTGCCCCCAAAGGCATGATGTAGTTAAATATTCAATGGAAGGGCTGCCTGTAGTTTTTTTAGAGATTTTCAGAAAAATAGAAAGCAGACTTTTTTTCTCCTAACCCCAGGAAGTTTTGTGTACTGTTTGGGTTTTACTCTGTCTGTGAATTGCTAGGGGTTCCTTTGGAGGAAGAGAAGGAGGAGGAGGAGGACACCTCCTGGACAGGAAAGCTGTGTGCCTTGGTGCACAAAATCAAAGCTCCATCCAAGCCAGAGAAGGAGCAACCAGCAGAGGAAGAGGAGAGATGCCCTGGTAAGTGACCTGACTTTCAATCACAGGATTCTCAACTCTGGACTCTCCTACACAACAAAGGTAATTGACCAGCTAATAAAAACTGTGAGAGAAACTTGGACCACTAACTTCCAAAGAACTGTCTGGGTATTATGTTGCTATGGATGGTAATTGTGACTATGTTTTAAGACCTTTACCTTTCCTCTGAAGAGACTAACTCAACACTTCTGAAACTTAGGGAATCAATTGCTTGGTGTTCACTTCATCCACCAGAAATGCCTGCAAATAGACCTCTGGGTTTTGTTTTCATTTGTTTTGTTTTGTTTTGTTTTGTTTTGGGGAGTGGATCTCACTGTGTTTTCTAGGCTACCCTATAATGTCAGACATGTGCCAGGTCCCTAATCTGTCCTTTGTTTCATGTTTATACAGCCTTCTTCTTTTAACCATTGTCATTTTCTTGTCACTTCTGTCTGTGGTTCCGTATCATGGAGAGTTGCCCTAATAAGAGAATAAAATAATATGAAAATAGAGTTGGTAATGGAAATAGGAGGCAGTTTTGTTTGTTGACTATGATATCTAAATTGAAGCATCCTGGAAGACTTTAATGGCTATTTTTCCACCATTTCCGGTTTTGTCTAAATTCATTTTCTTCATTTCTTCAGTTACTACAGATAACTCCTACCATTTTAACCCATGTTGAAACAAGATTGTAATTTGTCCTATAGGGCAGTTGACTGACTCTAAACCATTAACATTTCAAGAGGAAGATTGTCTGAATATTATATATAATCATTCTGCTCTTTACTACTGATTCAGAAGATTTATCATTTGTCTAAAGAAGGAATTTCCCAGGTTTAATATAGTTACCTTTTATCTTGTTCCCTGTTCCCATCCATCTTTGAATACACTTTCACATCAGAGACTACAGCAATAGACTGTCAAGATATGATCGGTTTGTCCAAAAACACTACTTTGAGGGTTCATACATCTTATTGCCCTTCATACTGATCTTTCATCTGTGTCAAAATATCTCCGGGAACAAACCTCCTTATTTATCAGCAGAGTGTTGAAGCCTCTAGATGAGTCCATAGGGAATTTGGCACTAGCAACCCTTTATCAGTCTATCAGTCACCTTGGAAAGAATGGATCTTCTGCTGAGGATATGCCAACAGAAATCTAAGGCCAACTCTAAGGAGTTGAGACTCCCTTTGTGATGACTGCCAAAGCAAAACTGGAAATAATTAGACTGACCCACATCACTCCTCTATCACCTGCTGAGATCTGTCCTTAAAGTGATGCTCCTTTCTGTCTTTCTAAGACATGTCAATCCCAAGGTGCCACCAAGTGACCATTTCATGGTTGGTGAACAGAGTCACTGAGACACAGTCACTCACCACCTTCCCCCTTGAACTCTCAGATCTCAAGTCGTTTGGCACCAAGGATTGCAGCCTTCCACCCTGCACCTCAGCCTTGGGCAAATAGACCGTGTCCCATCTGTTTTGGTAGTGTGTGCACACTGCAGATATCAACCCAGATGGGACTGTTGATTTCACCCTATGCCACCTCCCTACCACCAGTGGAATTTATAAGAAGCTCTGATGAATATAATCACTATTTACACAAACATGTTCTAATAAAAAAATTTTAAACAGAACGTGGGAGGTTCATGCCTGTGAGTGATCTGTCCTAGAATCCCAGAGATAGAAGAATTGGTCAAGGTGGCCAAAGACGTCTAGCTATCAATATATGGAGTCACTACTGAATGTTACAGAGACATCAGTGCCCTCACTTAAGGCTGACATTTTAAGATAAATTACTACATTTAAGATAAATTACTAAGAATGGTTTCATCCTCACCCCCAAAATATTTCCAATTTGATCAGATGGAAACAATGTTTTCAAGCATATAGGGTGTTGCAAAAAAGGATCTAAATTTCTTGTGAATTATTGGTAAATTTTTCTGTGTTACTGCTTCTGATTTCTCTTACCCTTGCATTTGAAAAAAAAAATGGTGACTGAACTGATATGACCCTCTTTCTAAATTAATTTTATTGGTGCATTTTTTACATATTTATTGAATACATTCATCAAAGGAAATTTGTACCTGTACACATATATATCTTAATTCTTTTCTCCCCTTCCCTTCCTTCTCCTTCAATCCTTCTTCTCCTCATTTACAAAACTTTGCTCCTATTGTTTTCCTTCCATTCATTCTTATTTTCTTTTCTTTTTGAGCCTTATTCCTTCTTCTCCTTCCTCCTTACCCTTCCCTTGTTCTTCTTCCCATTGAATATTTTCTTTCTACTTTCCAATATCTAACTACAATTTTGGACCTTATTTACCCTTAGGGTTTCTCACACAAAAGAAATACATGTGATACTTAGATATGGGTGTCAAATTTGCTCCATTTAAAATTATGTTCTATAATGATACATCATTCTACAATGAATTGACAATTTAACAAATACCTCTATATGTATCATTTAACTAACAGAGGATAATTGTCTTTATTTCTTCATAGTGTAGTTGAGGGAAATAGGACTGAGAAAAATCAAAGGGTACTAATAGTCAAGGTAACTAGAAGCAAGTAAAGCTGTGGCTCAAACTGGGATTTTCTGACTCTTTCCTCTGTGACATGCTCTTCCTCTGTGCCACTGAGCTTGCTAAAGACCATAAGAACATATATATCATGATCCCCAACACTAATACTCACAGAATGGTTTTAAACATCTCTATCTTCTTATCTTGCTTATGACATCTGTGAGATAAATCACTACAGTGACTCATTGCTTATGAAGATACTTGGAACAGAACTCAGAGCTATAACATTTAAAATTTATCCGAGCCTAAGATTTTTTTGTACCAGGAATCAAACTCAGGACCTTGCACTTGCCAGGTAGGCACTTGTACTGCTGAGCTATATCTCTGGTCTCAAGCCCAATATTTTGACTCAGTAGTCAATGAAAGTGGTAATGGGTCCAACCTATATTTTCTCCTCTATAAGCAGTTGATCTCCATGACAGATACCTCAATTTTTCTAAGAAATGGGGTACAACAGTGCTTTAAGCCTCATCAGAATTCTGCTAGGTGGTTCACTGTTGAAGAGATGTGACATGTTGTCAATGAAAGCTTTATAATATTATAAAAGCACCATACAATAATGAAGAAGTAAAAATCTTACAGTAGCAGCCCACCATATTAAGTCACCTTTTTTTATATCTCAGTCCAATAAATTCCCTATGAAATACTTTGCCTGTTGAGTCTAGGCCAGTGCTTTTTGAATGTACACTGCAGTTTATGCAGGGTTTCCTTAAATATACAGCAGTTGAGTTATTCTTCTAGAAGAGATCAACCCACTATTTCTCCTAAATTCTAAAATTAACAGTATGAAAGTCACCTATCAAAGTTTACAACTAAATCTTGGTAAATGAAATCCTTTCCCCACAAGAGGTGCTCGCTGTGAAGAAATGTCCCAAAGGAATTATTCTCTGAAGTAGTGTGAGGAGAGGAGAAGGAAGCTCCTTACTGACATCTGGTCGCTATTCCCTTGTGATGACCCAGCTATGGGTATATTGGTTAAGAATTGGGTTGTAGGTGAGCATGGTTGAGTCTAAAGGAAATGAACATCTCTCTTCTGTCTTTGGCCTGTGCCATTTACAAGAGAACTACCTTTCACAGAGCTAAGTTAACCTTGAGTAGCACCTATTTGCCTGGTCACTTTATTGATGAAGACCAGAACCAAAGATGACTCCAGAGGTAATCTTGAGCCCATCAAGGCTCAGAGCTGCTACTTGTCTAGCTGTCTACCTGTCCCTGAATGGTCTAAGAGTTTTAAGCCAAAATTGTTTCCCAGTCAATTGCTGCAGCATGTGTGTACTCGGAGGAGGAGACAGGTGTGTATTGTTTACCACTGAAAGTAAGTTCTGGTTCCCTGATGCAAATGCAGGGGTTGTGGCTTATTTAAATCTCTCCCCAAAGCCTCATTGAGTCATGGAGATGACTAAATCTAGCATTTGTGATTGGTTCATTGTCCAGCGCTCGGATTGGTGGTGTGAGTGTTTCACCCACCCAGGGGTGGAGTCAGTGTAATGGTGGAAGAAGGTGGGTGTTTCTCTTTTGCTTTCATTTTTGCTGTTTACAGGCCCCTGAATGGCTGTCCCTCCATGCTACGCTGCTTGGAACCAACTGAGTATGGACTGAAATCCCCAAGAACTGTAAGAAATAAACCTTTCCTTCCCTAACTTCGGGCGTCAGGTATTTTGTCTCAACAACAAGTAAAAAGTAACTAAGACAGCAGGCAAAGTAAGATAACTTGGTAGTGAGTAGGTCTGTGGAACTCAGCATGTATTTCTAATCTCTACATTCTCTCCAAACAACCCTTCCCAAGACACACACAGAGACCTCCTTCATGAAGCCTTTCTTTCAATTTTATTTTTTTTCTACCCACTCAAGCACAGCATGTAATTTCTAATAGGGATATCTGACTTTTCTCCTCATGTGAGGTTTTAATACACCAGTTGTTTGCTCAACTGATTTTTAGTAGAGGGACTATGTCTTGTTTCTGTCGACTCATTGACACAACTCTGTCTGACTTACAACTGTATGTTAGTAGCTTGAGGCTTACACTGATGGAGAAATGAGGACCTACACACACACAGGAAAAGGAGAAATTGGGTGTAGACGAGCAACTCAATATAACGATGAGATTGAATGTGCTATGGTAATAGCACACACAGTATTCAGTAGGTGCCAGAGGAGAGGTTGAAGAGGTTGGAAAAGTATCCATAAAAACTGTGAATGGAAGTCAGGCATGATGGCTCATGACTGCAGACTCAAGTTACTTGGGGCATGAGGAAGGAAGATCCCAAGTTCAAGTCCATCCTGAGTAACACAGCAAGACCTTATCTCAAAAAAAAGTATAAATGGATAGGTTAAAAAAAGTCATTTTTATTGACAAAAGCTGCTATACAAAGATCATGAGGCAGAAAAGTTCACATTGTAATGAAATACTGACAACAAGT